AAAAAGTGCATCTAAAATTTTCGCACCGTGCAAACTGCTGTTTGCACGGTGCATGCTGAAACTTTTTCTTTTGGTGAAACGCACAGTGCAGGCAAAAAATCTGAATTTTGTTTTCCGCACCGTGCAAAAAAAGGAATTTGAAAAAACGCACAGTGCGGCCGGTCTAAAATTTTCGCACTGTGCAAACCAAAAAAAGCTGCAATTTCGTCCGCACTGTGCAGTTAAAAAAAATTTTTTGCGGATTTTTCAAGGAAAACATCATTTTTTCGTCTATAAACTATAACATAAATATTTTTCCGGCCAATATCACATTACCATATCCATTTATTCCCCACTTCCTCCAAAGTTTTCCCAACTTTTATTCAATTTATCCCGTCGCCGCGATATTACAGTACTTTCTCCGGCCAAAACAATTTGTTTTTGAGATGGGACTTGTTTTTATCAGCATTCGCAAATTTCTTACCACCTAAACAACTTTTTAGTAACTTTTATTTCAATTTTTTTAAAATTTTATTTTCATTTTAGTGGCAAAAATAAGGACTCAGCAGGTCAAGCATAAGCTATTATGCTTAAAAACGTGAAAAAGTGCTTGGTTTCTTGGAATTCCTCTCAGACGTCCGAGAAATTTCCAGTTTTTGGGTTCCGAAAAACGGTTTGAACTAAGTTTGGACCAAAAAAAGATGTTTTTTAGGTCTGATAGGGTTTAAAGAGAAATTCGTGGGCGTTTTAGTCATGTCTGAGGGGATCTTCGGTAAAAAAATTTTGAAATATTTTTGAAAATAAAAAGAAAATTAACAATTTTTTGGAAAAATTTAGCTTTTGTACAAAACAACATCCCATATGACGTCGTATTTTACATTGTAATTGCTTCTATTGAATTCTAATTTCAAGAGAATATCAAACATTATTCAATTTCCAAATAATTTAGTAACAATTTTGACGGATTTTAAATAATTTTTGGGCAAAAAAGTTTTATTATTATTTTGTTTATGGTGTGACGAGTTTGCAGTAACGTATTTTACACTCCAATTTCAATAAAACATCAAAAACAATATATTTTTTGCAAACAATCGTCAAAAAGAGCCTTAGCCCGATGCGGGGCTCGAACCCGCGACAGCCAGATTAAGAGTCTGGTGCTCTACCGACTGAGCTAACCGGGCACACCCCATTTTCTCTTGGTTTTCAGGCCGATTCGGGGGAAATCGATGGGAAATGAGGGGAAAACACGTGAAAAATAATTTTTGGATTAGATTTTGGATTAAATTTGAGCGTCGCACTTTAAACATTTACCTTGTAAATACCATAAAAAAGTCTTTGTACTGTTTTTTCTTTGCTTTTGAGTTAATTTCCATTGTTTTTATGACGCAGTTTACTCGGTTTAAAAAGCCATTATCCGGTTTTTTGGCGTGCCCGATAATGGTGCCAATGTCAATACAAATCGTATTTGTTTTTTGGAACAGACAAATGCGAAGACATAAAAAATCTGTGGGGACGAGAAACGGGGTTTTCGGCTTATTTGGTTAGTAATTGCTGCGATCTTTGAGATACTGTTATGTCTGATGTAAAAAGGAAAAGAAACAAAAGTCTTGTGGTTGAGGCGGTCGTATTTTACCCAAAAAATTTTTTTTGGACGTTCGATATTTACTTTATGTTTATGTAATCTTTTTTCGTAAAACGGCAGCGTGCATCTTACTTATAATAATATTTGTTTTTTCTTTGCAAATACTAGTGTTAGCTGGAAGACAAATAGGAAATTCAGTGGCGGACCTGATCCAGTGACAAAAAACGTTCCATTTTGCCTCCGGGAAGTATCAAAAAATGTAGAAAAATTTCTCCTTCTCCAACTAACAAAACTCCTTTTTGAAGGGACCCTCACAAAAATAGCAGGCGGCTTTTGAAGTCGGAGTTTTTTCACTTGGATAGGGAGGTATTTTGCCACATTTTTGATACTTCCTGGATGCAAAATGGTACATTTTTTCCACTGGATTAGGTCCGCCACTGTAAGACTAGGAGTTCCTTGGCCTCAAACTGAAGAGTCCGGAATAGAGCCTTCGATATCGGTTTTTACACTTCGTCTTCACTTCACAAAGAAGACAGAGAAAAGACGCGCAAAAACGTACTCTCTCGCCCCAAAAAATTCCCCATTTCTTCTCCGACAAAACGTTTTTTCACGTCTTTTTTGGCGACCTTGCCTAGTCCATTCGCCGGATCGTTTCAGCGTTTGACGTGCGCTCCCTCGGTTGCCTTTCGGCCGCATCCTTTCGGAGGGCCTAGATGTGCAGTCCGAGGGTGCTTTTACTCTAACCTCGCGGTCACATCGACTGGTCATACCGATCGGGTAATCGATCGGTATGACCAGTCGATCGGGCGGTTGAACCAATTTCCAAGTTCGAGGGAAAGGGCAGAGTCTGAACTCATAAATACGTATTTTTTGTAAGGGAATTTCTCAAAGTGCAATTCTCAGCTTGTCCCTAAATTTGGTAATGACAGTCCGTCTAGGCCACGAATCATCCAGAAATTTTTTTGCAGACTATGCAGAAATAGAGAAGGGAGGGACAGAGAAAAATTCCAGTTTTGGTGGTTTTGAAAAAATGATTTTTTGTCGAAACTTCTTTTTATATTAAAAAATCTTAAAAAATGTCGGATTTTCAGTCATTTTTGACTGAAAATTCTCGATGGGTTTGGGCAATCTTACATTTTTCGGTTCGGTAAAAGCTTTTCGTCAAACTTTTTATCAAGTTTCATCAGATTTTTTACCCACACCTTCGTATTTTGCTTAAAAAATCACGCTTTATCTGATATTCTTGCCGAAAAATTACTTTTTATCCTCTCTGGGGTAAGCCTGGAATTTCAACTTTCAGCTAAGACCGTATTTTACCCAAAATTCCCTTCATTTCTTCCTTATTTTTCCACACTGCCTCCTACGAACCCACACAGTTCGCGGAATAATTGGCTTCCGACCGAATACGTGAGGTTTTGTTTGTTCTGGCAAAGATATCATTTAGTTTTTTTTACTGTTATGCCCTCCGGAATCCCATTCTTTTTTCGGGATAATCGAATCGCCGGCAATTTCATGGCCAAAAAGGGGATTGAGAAGGGCGCGGCATAAGTGGAAAGAAGGGGTTCCCCGACTTTATTCACAAGATCCTTGTTCAGATTATGGTCTACGGCCTTTTGATGGACGTTTTATGAATTGTTATAGGCCAATTACAAGCTGGGTTATTGTAATTTTTAAAATTCAAAAGTTTTTCATTTTTGAAAAAAAAATTTGAAATTGAAAAATTTTAACTTTTTTGCTTTCCAATTGAAAATTTATTTTTTTCATGTCACTCCTTGCTCATTTCCCATCACTTTTCCGACGAATCGGCCTGAAGAACAAGAGAAGAAAACGGTGTGCCCGGTTAGCTCAGTCGGTAGAGCACCAGACTCTTAATCTGGCTGTCGCGGGTTCGAGCCCCGCATCGGGCTAAGGCTCTTTTTGTTCATTTTTTGCCAAAAATTTATTGTTTTTCAATTTCTAATGGCTTGAAAAGTAAAATAAGATGTTTTAGATTATATTTGCCACTGTGAACCATAGTTTGCTTAACAATTTTGCCGATTTTTATCCAAAATGAGTACTTTTTAGCAAATTTTTATTGTTTTCAAAGAAATCTTTGTAGATTAATTGTTTTCGAGTCTCGGATGAAAGGTTATATGTAAAAAACGCCCTTCTTAAATTGATTCCTTCGTTAAAAGTGCAAAAAAATTGCTGATGTTTTTCAGAATTTTTTGTTTTTTGCCAATTTTTTCGGTGTTTTCCCAAATTCCCCCTCAAAGTCTCGTCATTCTCCTCTTCTCCACGTAGTTTATCAATCTAAAAGTTCTCATCAAGATTTCTGCGTGTCACTTTTCCCGTGCCCAAACGAGAATGGCGCTTCGAAATTTGTTAATTTAAATTTTTTGGGCCGTCAAATTCCGCATGTCGCCAAACATGTCAGCAAAACCATTTTCCCTCTTTTTCGAATTCTTTTTTTGTTTTTAGGATATTTGCAAAAATTTTTGAAAACCCGATTTATTCATTTACTTTTATGCCCTTAGGGAATTTCCTGGTTTTTAGACATTTAGTCATTTTTTGAGTTTGGAAATGGATGACTTTGTACTTTTTAAAAGTTTTATTGAATTTTTTACAGTATTTTTTACGATATTTTATATTTTTCTTCCGCACTGTGCAATAAAATTAAGAAAAATTTTTAATTTTTTACTCTGAAAATAGCCAGGACACACCTCAGAAATTCTTTTGACATTCATCAATGATAACATCAAGTGAAAATTTTCCGAAAAAATCTTTTTTTTTGCCTTATTTTCCATCCCCTCTCTCACTTTTCCCGCCTTTTTTCCAAGGCCATTCGAAAGGGATCGAAATCAAAGAGAGCCGAATACCGTTCCTCGGTAGTATAGTGGTAAGTATCCGCGCCTGTCACGTGCGAGACCCGGGTTCGATTCCCGGCCGGGGAGGAAGTTTTTTTAATTATTTTATATTACTCATTGCATGATTTTTTTTGAATTTTATGACTATGGTTTCTTTTTCAAACCGTATTTTACCATATATTACTTTTTAGCCTTGTATTTTGATATTTTAGTAATCTTTTTGTAAAAAACCTCGTTACTTTTTCCAAAACCAAGTTTCAAACGTAATGTTTGCCCTCAAAATTTGATGCTTTAGGCTCGTGATGCTAATACAGTTGGCTTCAGAATTAGGCCATAAATTAGGGGCCAAATAGAGGTCTTAAATGAAGAGTAATACGAATTTTTCTCTTTAATTGAACTCGTGGCCTCTTCTCGGACCATTATCGATATCGAATATGTAGTCGAAAATTATCATCGATTACGGATAATATCTCTTGTGTAATTTATATTTGGCTATTTGAATACGACTTTTCGCGGTTTTCCAGGATTTTTTGAAATTGACTTTTTTTCATAACGCAATTTTTTCAGATTCAATAAAAAGAAGGGCAAATGTGATGTCAAAACCACGTCGATTAGGCCGTTTTCTGTTCCTAGGTTATATAGTTTTTGGCACGGTACTCAGTCTTCTCAAAGAGAATGTAAACGGCCTTGTGGAGCGGCCAAAACTCGAGACCTCCACTCCTCATCAACACTATTCCACATGTTTTAAGTAAGTCGTCCCAGAAAAAATTTGAATATTTAAATTTTTTTTCAAAAATTTTTTTTAATTTTTTTTTAAAATTTTTTTTGAAATTTCGCCTCTAAATTTATTCGATTCCCCTGTTCTTACTCGAAAAGAAATTTAATTTCCTCTCTCTTTGTAATGTGATTACAATATTCTTTCCGGGTGGACCTAAAGAAGAACATGCGCTTTTGCACTCCATCTAGAATAAATTTGCACGGAAAATGGAAATAAAATCCGAAAAAAATCGTCAAAAAATCCGTTTCGCTGCTTTTGAAATTTGCGCACAGTGCGAAAAAAATGAAAATAAAATTTTGCACAGTGCGGAAATCTAAATTATAAAATGTTGCACTGTGGTAAAAATTGAAACTATAAAGTTGCACTGTGCAGAAAATTAACGTCAAAAAAATTGCACTGTGCAAAAAATTAAAATCAAAAAAAATTTTTTTGCACTGTGCGAAAAATCAAAACCAAAAAATGCACCGTGCAGAAAATTAAAATCAAAAAAATTGCACTGTGCGTAAAATTGAAAATAAAAAATGTTTGCACAGTGCAAAAAAATCAAACCAAAAATTTTTGCACTGTGCGAAAAATAAAAATGAAAAATCTTTGCACTGTGCGAAAAATCAAAACCAAAAATTTTTGCACTGTGCAAAAAATCAAAGCAAAATTCCCTTTCAAAATTTTAATTTCATACTTAGAAACTTCTCCCATCCCGCCTCCGACACCGATGAATCTCAATTCCCCACCGATCTGTTCACCTTCGAGGAGCGGCGCAGCGGAGCCGTCATTCTCCATCTGATCGGCCTGATCTACATGTTTGTGGCGTTGGCCATTGTCTGCGACGAATTCTTTGTCCCCGCATTGGGAGTGATCACCGAGAAGTTGGACATTAGCGAGGATGTGGCTGGGGCCACGTTTATGGCCGCTGGCGGATCGGCGCCCGAGTTTTTCACCAGTGTGATTGGAGTTTTTGTGGCACAAAATAATGTCGGAATTGGGACAATTGTTGGTAAGCAGGGAGGATTTGGGGAGGGAGATGGGTGGAGTTGGAAAAAATATATCTTTTTTGGGATTTTATAGATTTTTTTTAAATTTATTAGTATGCAAATTTTTCAAAATTTTAGGTCAACAAATTTTTGATAATTTTTCTGAAGATTTGAGCATTTAAATTTGCATATTATAATTTTTTGAAAATTTCTGGAATATGCAAATTTTTTTGAAAATTTCTGGAATATGCAAATTTTTGAAGTCTAATTTTTTAAAATTTTTTTGAATTTTATTTTTTTATTTTAGAATTAACATTTGCGTATTCAAATAAAAAAAATTAATTATGCAAATTTCTGAAATTTAGTTTCTTTTATTTTAAATTTTTTTATTTCAAAATTAAAATTTACATATTCAAATTTCAAAAAAACCCAATTATGCAAATTTCGTCCCATCCAAAACAATTTTTCCAGGCAGCGCGACCTTCAACATCCTCTGCGTCCTCGCCTTCTGCACCCTCTTCTCCACCACCGTCCTCTACCTAACTTGGTGGCCACTGTTCCGCGATGTCGCCTTCTACACAATCGCCCTGTTGGCGGTAGTCCTATTCTTCCTGGACGACCGGATTGTTTGGTATGAGGCGCTGTTCCTGTTCCTCCTCTACATATTATACTGCACGTTTATGAAGTACAACGAGGACATTGAGACGTTCGTCAAGGTGAAGGTGTTGAAGCAAAAGGAGCTGGAGAATGATCCGGAGCAGAGGGAGAGCATTATTGTAGGTTGCAAAACACTTTTTTGACCGATTTTTTATTTGAAAAACAATTTTTGTTTAACCCAAGGCACTAATTTTTTCCAATTTTTTGATAAAAAAAAGTTTATTTTTGAATTTTTTATGTCATGACGAATGTGGTATTAACGTATTTTACACTCTGATTTCAATAAAACATCAAAAACAATCTATTTTTTCCAAAAAATTAACAAAAAGAGGATTCTGGATAATATTATACCTAAAAACAGTGAAATCATAAATAGAAACTCTCGTATTTTATATTCTGATTTTAAAAAACATGAAAAACAATAAATTTTCTCGAAAAAATCACCAAAAAGAGCCTTAGCCCGATGCGGGGCTCGAACCCGCGACAGCCAGATTAAGAGTCTGGTGCTCTACCGACTGAGCTAACCGGGCACACCCCATTTTCTCTCGGTTTTCAGGCCGATTCGGGGGAAATCGATGGGAAATGAGACAGGGAAGCAGCGAAAAATAATTTTTCAAAAAGGAAAGCAAAAAAGTTAAAATTTAAAAATAAAAAAAAAAATTTTTTTTTGAGTAATTTTTATAAACTTTTCAGGGCGATTCCTCCCGCAACTCCTCCATTCAGCCCGATTATCAGCCTCCGTTGAGCAATACGCGCCATTATCAGCAGCCCTCTTCCCTGCAACGGTCGGACTCGTTGGCCGCGGGACGACGTCGCGCTTCGATGAACTCCCGAAGGCAGTCCATCCCCATCCTGCACACCGGAGCCATGTTCCGCAATTCGATGATGCAGATCATGTCCCAGCGGCTGGATGCTGTGGATGAGAACGAAAATCAAGGAAATGGGCATTTGAATCACAGTTTGGAAGGAGGAGGAAGTCGGAGGTATCGGAATCGGAAGTCGAGTGCTGCTTGTATCAAACAAATTGATGGGAATGCGGCGGTGGTGGCGGTGAGTTTTTTTTAATTGGAAAAAAAGTTTTGCTCTTGTAAGGCAAAAATTGCAGATGCTTCAACAACCAAGAGACTATGGAAAATTAGGAGAGACGCTCACAAGGGAAGTTCCCCAAGTGCGACGCTCAGATTTTGATGAAACTTGGCACAAATTTAGAATAATTTTTTCTAAATTACATGCGAGAACCCTAGTTCGCGCTTTGCAGAAACAACCGAGATTTTTAGATCGAAAGTCGGCGAAAATTTAGCGCGAGCTAGGAGAGTAGTTTTAGAAAAAAAAAATCAAAATTTGTGCCAAGTTTCATCAAAATCTGAGCGTCGTACTTGGGGCACTTCCCTTGTAAGTTTAAACGGATTTTCGATTAAAAAAGCGTTCTAAATTTTTAAAATCCGATGGTTTTTGCAAATTTAAATCATCTATTTTCTCTAAAAAAAGCTATTGCAATTTTGAAAAATGTTTATTTTATCAATGTATATAATTTCAGCGCCCAAATGGAATTCAAAATGGCACTCGAAAGCAGAGTGAGCGGCGATCAACCAAGGCTGAGATTGAGACACTGGTAAGTCAATTTTTCTTTTCAAAAAAGTCGCAAAAATTGTCATTTTTGTATACCAATTCGTACTTTAAAAATGTTTTAAAGTACGGATTTTTATCAAAAAAATTTTCATATTTTCACCATTACTATATACACTTTTACCATACAAAATCTCTACAGAAAGAGGCCCTGGAGGACGAAGATGAGCAGCCCCTCGACATTAGTTGGCCAGGGACCCTCAGAAAACGTGTGATCTACGTGTGTCTCGCCCCAATTCTCTACCTATTATGGTTCACTTTGCCTGATGTTCGTCGACCGGAGCGCAGAAAATACTACGTTGTGACGTTTGTCGGGTCCATTTTGTGGATCGCCGTGTTCTCGTATTTGATGGTCTGGGTGGCCAACACAATCGGAGAGACGTTCCTGATCCCCACCGAAGTGATTGGACTCACAATCTTGGCCGCTGGAACCAGTATCCCCGATTTAATCACTAGGTAAAATTTTTTGAATATTCAAATTTTGAAAATCAAATTTTTTTTTTAAAATTTTGTACTGAAACTTACCATAAATTGGTGGATTTTTTAGGGTATATTTTATATTTTAAGCCCACGTTTTGCATGAATTTTTGGGATTTTTTGGTCGAAAAAATTTTTTAAAATGATTTTTTTTTCATTGTTTTGGTTTGAAAATTTCATAACCTTGAAGTAAATGTCATTTCTACCAAAAATAAAAATTTTTCCAGCCGAATTCAAAGAGTTACCTCCGAAAAAGCAGATTTTTTCTCTGACCCTCTTCATTTTACGTGCTCTCTCGGAAAAAAGGCTCGCTGAATATCTCAGCTCTGCTACCCAGTAGGAACCTGAAATTTTCAGAGGTTAATCTACCACCTATTTACACTAACTGGCCAAAATTTCAAAGAATTATGAGTTCGGGCTACCGCTGAAAAAAAATAAAAATTTTTTTTTGTTTTCAAAATTTTCGAAATCCCAAATAACAATATTTTCAGTGTGATTGTGGCCAGAAAAGGGCTGGGCGACATGGCCGTGTCCAGTTCAGTGGGCTCGAACATTTTCGATGTCTGTGTGGGCCTGCCAGTCCCGTGGCTGCTCTTCTTTCTCTTCAATTTGATCAAGAATGGGACCACGGGAAGTGTTCCGGTTAGCAGGTGAGTTCTCGAAAGTTCAACACAATTTGTATACACGTATTTTACAACCCATTACACCTCCTATTCTAGGCTTTTTCCCAGTGAAAAAAACAAAAATAATTTTTGGGTCAAGCTCATGGATAATATAGCTGATATCTCGAAATTCATTTTTCTTTTTGGTAAATTTATATACTGAGTTGAATCTTCATTAAATCAGCTTTCAAATGATATATCACTCGTCTATATCTGTAAAATCTAACCATCAAAATTTTGAGATTTTTTGATTTTTCGACAAATTTCTGTTCAAGAGTAATAAAAAATTAAAAAAATCGGTAAAATACAGTTCTCCCAAGCCTATTTCTCACTTATAACCCTAATATTTTACTATTTTTTTCCAGCAATGGTCTCATCTGCAGTGTTTCGATGCTCTTTTTCATGCTGGTCTTCCTGGTCGCGACGATTGCACTGTGCGGTTGGAAGATGAACAAATACTTTGGCGTGTTCATGCTCGTCGAATATTGCGTCTTCTGCACCGCCTCGGTCTTCTTGGAGTTGGGCATGATCACATGTCCGTTGAGGATTTGTGTGTAAATCAAAAAAAAGTATCGAAATTCAACTAATTCTAAATTATCCATTACGAATTCGAATAAAGAAGCTTGAATTCGATTATTTTTTGGTGCAAATCACTCAAAAAACCCCGTTCAAACCATTTTCGGCCCAAAATTTTTTTTGCACTTGCCAATTTTTGAAAAATTTTTTTTCGCACAGTGCAATAAATAATTTTTGTCGCACAGTGCAACCAATTTTCGATTTTTTTGGATCCGCACTGTGCAATAATTTTACTGACTCAATTGGCAGCTCAAATCTCAATTTTGCACCGTGCAGTCATTCATCGCCACCGCACCGTGCGAAAAATTAAAATCTTTGCACCGTGCAGCCAAAAAACTTTTTCTTTCTTAATAAATACAAAAATGTAGCTACGAAATATTTATTACCACACCAAATATTTAAACACCATTTTGTACAGAAATCAGCTTAAATTGATCTGGGTTTAGTTGTTTTAGCTGCTTTTCCGAGAATTCGAAACATTTCAAAATTCGGGCCAACTTTTTTAGAGGCATCGTAACGCAGGCGTCGGAACTTTTGGGACGGATCCATTTGGCCCGTCGGAGGATGCCCACTGGCCATTCCGCGTAGGGAATCTGGAAAACCAATCGTTTGTAACGAAATGCCAAAGAATTTTTACAACAAAACTTTTTAAAACACGCTGTTCATAATCGTACATCATTTAAAATGCGCTAAAATTACACTAAACTCCATCTCTGATCAAAATATAAGCCAAAATCGCGGTGCCAAGTTTTCGTGGTGGGACCCAAAAACTGGTGCAACATGATGTAAAATACGTTACCAATAGATTGCAACCCCACTAAGATTATCCCACATTGTCTCAAAGTACAATTTATAATCGAAGTAGGGCCAAAAAACAGAATGCCAAATTTTCGTGGTGGGACCCAAAAAAATAAAATTGTAAAATACGAAGCACCAAGTATTTTATCACTAAACTCTATTCTAAAAATACGATAATACCAACTAATCAAACCATTTCGCCTCTTATAACACAATGCCAAGTATTCGCTTTGAGACCCAAAACCTACCGTATTCCTTCCAAAACACTTGTCGGTAATCCGGGTTGTCTTCAAATACTTGACCAATTCGTCGCTCGCTTTTCGTTTCCGATGGCGGAACACGGTTTTCGTCAACGAATTCAGATGCTGCGAGCATAATCGGCAGTACAATAAGGAGGAGGTCGGGATTTTCTCACTAAAATACGATCAATCTGTTGCAAATTTCGGCTTACAGTATTTGATATTGAATCTCAATGGGTAAGGCAGGAAATAGCGTAAATTTTGGTTCGGATATGTCTTTTCCAGTCAGGAGGTCCCCGTAATCTTCGTATAATTGCTTGGTGGTCGTATGTAAGGTTGATTTACCGGCTTTTAGCTCACTGAAACGAAAGTTTTAGTTGGTAAATTAGATTCAACCATCTATTAATCGTATTTTCCATCAACAAATCCAAAAATAACTTTTAAATTTTCAAAATTTCGATAGAAATCCGATTTTCCCTCAAAAAATTTCGATTTTTTTGAATTTCTCGGTGCAAATGCCCTCAGGCTACAGACAAAAAATTATTATTCGACTCAGAATTCCATCAGCTTCAACTTGATGTACAACTTGCCATATAAAAATGAAAGAAATTTTGTAAAAAAAAATTTTTTTCCAGAAAAAAAATCCAAATGCCCTTAGGCTATAAATCAAAAACTGTTCAAAAATTACATTTCAACTCATAATTTCACTAGCTTCAAAATAATATACATCTTGCCAAATCAAAAAAAAATTTCAAATTTGTAAAATACGATGATTTACATCACTCACTTTTTATATTTACAATGCAGCTCAAAGAAGTCCGCTCTGAGCGTCTTCAACTCCTTCGAGAATTCGATGATCCGACACAAATTGTAGATGCATCCTTCTGCACGGTGTGTGAACTCGACCATGATGTTTATAACATGCGTTAGGACCATTCGATGGTCGATCTGTAGTCGATTTTTTAGAAGAGTAGATGGCAGTCGGAACAAGGCGCAAAGAACTAGGGCCTTTTGTAGAAGCGCTGATATGTTTGTGGACTCGTATGTGTTCAAAAGGCGGGTCAATAATCTCGCGTTTTTTAGGTCGGACTTTGAAAGTTGGTCCAATTCGTGGAAAATCGCACACAATATGTACTTGTACTCAAATGTTTCCCTGTAAAATACGACTTGGAAAAACAATTAGGTAAAAAAAAGTAATTTGAAGTCAAAATAAGCCGATTTTTTCAAAACTTTAATATTTTCGATGTCAAAATGCCCTCAGGGCATTATATATTTCGCTGCAAAAATTTTTATTGTTGTTTTTTCTTCGATGAAAGCAATTTTTTGCATCATATCGAGATTAAAAAAAAATTTTTCTCAAAAATTTTGATTTTCTCTATGAAATTGCCCTCAGGGCAACAAAATATTACCTTTACAAATTCTACAATTCATTACTGTTTGTTTTCACACATTTTTTTTTGATATCAGCACTAAATTCCCTGCCTTTCAGCACTTCTAAATTTATCTGCATTTCATGCTGATTTTCATTTTTTTCAAATTTTTTTTATTTCAAAATTTTTTTTCCACATATTCAACTTAATTTACCCCCCTCCGGCATCCTCACACAAAGAAAAATAAGTGTTTTCGGTTCGTTTTCCTCCCCATTTCCCCGTTTCCTTTTTTCGGGAGAGATTTTTCCCACAAAAACGGAAAACTGGGTCTGCGACGCGGGCTGGGCGTCGAGAGAGTGGGCGGCGCGCAGAGGGCGGGTAGAGAGGGGAGAGGATGGGAAAGCAGCCGGACTTTCAGCCTGTCCCCTCCATTTCGTTGGAATTTCCCCGACGGAAAATTGTCCGAATTCGCTCATTTTTGGTCGGTTTTTTTGCGGTTTTCTTTAGGCATTGGTGCTCTAGGTCTCTGCCGGTATTTCTAACATGTTTTGTGTATCATCATAGGCCCAGGATTACTGTAATTTTTAGTCTTTTCGAGGAAAACGCCAAAAATTGGGAGAATCCTGCAAAAACTGGGGATTTTCGAGATTTTTCGAATATAAAACTGTTTCATAACATAAAATATTTGATAAAAAATAATGAAACACCGAATTCCTTCAATTTCCAACACATTTCTATGAGGTTTTAGACAAAAAACTACCCAATTTTGACATTTTTACCACTTTTTCAACTTCTTTTACCTAAAACAATATAATTTCTTCTAAACTTCGTCCCAATTCATTTTAAAAATATTTCAGGATGTTTTAGCAGGCATTTAGTTAATAACTCAGTCGATAAATTTTGTAATAAACGCCTTTTTCGGTATAAAATACGAATTATCCCAAATTTTCAGGAGAAAATTGCAAAATCATGCCCGTCGATGAGTATATCGCAATAAATGTAAGTCTATTATCTAAAAATATTCTATAGGCGTCATAACTATCACTTTGCCACTCTCTTACAGCACTTTTTGAAAGAAAAATCTACAAAAAATTATAAATACCTATGTTCGTAAAATTCAAAATTTTAAAAAAATTTATTGCCTGAGGGCATAACTAACACCCCAACCATTTCAGCCGTACGGAAGACGATGTTGGTCGTGGAAATTCTTTGTCGCCGAGGCCGAGGACCGTTCCAAGTGCATGTTCTGCGACTTTTCCTACCGGAACAACACCTACAAATTCAAGAGGCATTTGCTGGTAAGTCACTGTAACCACAATCTCATTGATGACTCTGTGAGTCGCGGAACCCTTTTTTATCCTATAATAGACCTTAAACTAACCTATAAACTCAAAAATTGAGGCCAAACTCCAAGTTTTCCTATATTATACTAGCCATTTGATAGCCATCCAAAGTAAAGTCGCTATTTTCAGACGCAATGTAAAAATATCCCTCCAAATTTCAAGGACGAGATCACACAGTTCAACACCAAGACGGATCACTATTACAGCACGGCGAAACGGCCGAATTTCGAGAACCCAAACGAGACGCAACATTCGGGTGTCTCAACTCTTCCTCAAGAGCCAAAGTACCTTCTTCCTATGACCGACGATACTCAAATCCACAAAATTTTATCCTTCATCGATCAAAACACCGAGGAGAGAAATCAACTGCAGGAGTTGTTGGTCAAGGTGAGTTATCGGTTACCCTTCATTTGAGGCGGATCTGGTATCAGGCCAATATTTATATCCAATTTGCAAATTGGTTGACTAACTAGCCAAAGGGGTTACTCTGTGTTTATTCACACCTCGTGACCAAGCTCGCGGCCTAGGTTGTGACCAAGGTCAAGGTGGTTGCCCAAATTGACCCGAAAACGGTGTGAATTCTTGACTATGATGGTCAAGACACACCTTCTTACAGTGGGGGACCTGATCCAGTGTCAAAAAACGTACCATTTTGCATCCGGGAAGTATCAAAAATATGGCAAAATGTTTCCCTCTCTAAGTGAAAAAACTCCGATTCCAAAAGCGCGCCCGCTCTTTTCGCAAGGGAAAGGGCCCTTCAAAACGAAGTTCTTTTCACTTGGAGAAGGAAGCATTTTGCCACATTTTTGATACTTCCCGGGAGCAAAATGGTACGTTTTTTGCCACTGGATCGGTCCGTCACTGTAAGAAGGTGTGTCTTGACCATCATAGTCAAGAATCCACACCGTTTTCGGGTCAATTTGGGCAACCACCTTGACCTTGGTCACGACCTAGGTCGCGAGCTTGGTCACGAGGTGTGAATAAACACGGAGTACCCCCCCTTTGGCTAGGTAGTCAACCAATTTTGCAACATTGGATATAAATATTGGCCCGATACCCGATCTTCCCCAAATGAAAAGTTGCGGAGTTATCGACCGGTCGACTTTTCAAAACCCAAAACGTCTTGGAACTGCTCTAAAATGATCTCAACTCTCATTTCAGTTCATTGTAACCTCGAATGCGGCTCCAGAAGACCTGCAGAATCCGCATTTCCGCGAATTCCTGCAAAAGGTCCAACCAGACTTCAATTTGCCCTCCAGCGATGATTTCAAACGTCTGGTGGAGCAACAATACGATCAACTGAAACCGCAGATCAACAATCACATCAAAGAGTCCAAGTTTCTGTCGCTTTCGATCGAGGAATCCGATGAAAACTTGAATATTTTCATCCATTGCCCCGGCCCAGTCTACTATGGGAGACTGGCCGTAGATCAAGTGAAACCGTTCTCGATTATGGAGCGAGTTCTGGCTGATGTTGGAGCGGAGAAAGTGGTTGCCATCAAGGCCGAATTAGCCGACAGATCGGTGTATTTAGGAGGAATCGAGAGCTCTTTTCCATGGATAATATTTGATGGCTGCAAGGGATGTCTGATCGATGCGACTATGGAGGAATTGGTGGGAGTTGGGCTGGTCAATGATTTCTGGGCACAATGCTGCTTTCTCGCGCAATTTTTGCGGTAAGTTTGGGGTTTTTTTACAAATTTTGACTTCAAGTTGCCTAGTACAACATAAAATTTCTCAGCCAAAGTTGGAAAACTCGACGATTAGATAGCTTCAAACAGCCCTTTAGCTCATAAATAAGACCCTTGGGCAAGAAAAACATCTCTGTTCATTATTTTTCACCTCTTTTTTATCAAATCACCTAGTACAATATAGCCCAAAAAATGCCCTAAAATCCCACAAATTCCCCCGTAAAATACTTCTAGAAGTTCTGTAGACCCAAAAAAATCACAATACTAACCACTAAGCTCACGCTTATCCTATATTTTCAACCTTCCCCATTCAATCACCTACTACAATATAAACCGCTCCAATTTTCAGCCGTCCAAGTGTCCTCCCTCAATTCACCGAACAAAATCCAAGCTTTCTGGAGATTCCTCTCTTCCCCAAGACCGGTTCCACAGTCTACCGGCTATTCAACGCCGTCTCCGAGCTTCGCGATCAGCTGAATGAGGCGATTTGGTGGCCGAAACTTCAGGAAGAGCCGGATATTCTGGAGGTTCGACAATCGATTGTTGAGAATATCACATTTTGGGATGTGGTTCGCAGTCTGACAAAGTTACTGCGGCCCTTCTATGAGTTCGATGCCGGCGGCGATGCGGATTATTCAACGATGTTGAAGCGGGCAAGAAAAGTGTTGAAGACCGGGCTGGAGAGGGCTCAAAACTTCGATGCAAATTGTAATCAAGCCTTTCAGGAGGTGAGTTAGTCATTCTTTACTTGATTTCGAAATTTGGGCGCTTTTCCCTGATTTTCAGGGTTTTCGTGGTGGGACCCAAATTTTATTCCCAAACGTCAAAAATCTGATCCAAAATCATTTCAGATCATCGAAAGATCGCTCAAAGAGACTGAAACTGAATTGGGCTATGTTTTCGATCTACTGGATCACTCAACTCGAGGTGTGGAACTAAGTGATGACCATATGGATGTGGCCATCAACTTGATCACCAACAAAATCATGGCCAATCCCAGTTTGGGCGGCGACGAGATTACTGTAGGTTCTTATTAATTAAAAAGAAAATCAATTCTCTAATTTTACCACTTGTAATTTCAGATAATCCGAGAAATCGGCGAATTCCGAGGGCGCACCGGAACTTTTGACGAAAATCGCCGAAGCTGGTTGAAGAGTCTGAACGAAGAGACGAGCCCCGTGTTTTGGTCCTACTTTCAGAATATAAAGCTTGCGACGATCGCCAATTTGTTGAGTTATGTCCCATTTTCGAGTGCAATTTGTTCGAAATGCAAGAAGAAACCAGAGTAAGTGCCGTATTTTACAACCAAAAAAAAAAACAAAAAAATTTTTTTGAATATCTCCAAAATAGCAGTCATTTATCAGTAAATGTATTTTCCAACCTCGCTTTCACCATTCTACCCTCTTTTCTGCCATAACCTAGGGCGCAGCTCGCCGAAAACAAAACCTCAAAAATCGGTGGCCAAATGGCCAATTATGAAACCAACTCTTCTAATGGATTCCCAGCGCTCTATTCAACCTTAAAAATTCGTATTTCAGGATCTCTGAAGAGCTGAACAACAAGTTAATCTACCTGAAACACAATCTCCGTCATGAAGAACGAGAATATGCGGAAGATCAGGATGGGAATACCAGTAATGTCGGGTCGAGTTTGACAGACAAGCTGCACCTTTAACTACCATTTACTTTTTTTCTGTTATACGGGTTATAAGTTATATAAACTTTGAGATTTTTTTTCGATTTTTTCCAATTTTCCCTAAGGGCTTGAAGTAAAAATTCGATGACTTACACACAGTGGACATAGAATTTGATCTCTTCTTCATTTTTCATGGACGTATTCGGCTGGAATTGGGCTCTGAAGGCGGGCGAATCCAAAATCCCGGGGGTCAGGCGGTCGATGGTGTCCCAGCTCGCGACCACTGGTATGTTCAGCTCGTCCAGAAGGTATATGTGCTCTCTCACTGTAGTATATCAAAGTTAAATCTCATTTTATCCTAAATCTGCTTATTTACCCGGAAATCTGAGTCCGCGAGCTGCGCCCAGCGCAACTTTTAAATTCCGCAGCCTGCGCCCTAGACTTTGATTGATTGCATTCTACGCGGGTTGCGCTGCTAACCGGAACTCGGCAATCTCTCATTGTCAATCAATTTCGTCGCCAATTCTCCGACTTTTAAAACATTTTCAGCAATTTTTCCGCTGAAAACAGCTATTCAACCTAGTTTTTCAACAGAATTTACAAGAATTTGCAGGTTAAATTTAACAAGTGAGTGGTTGAGACCTTGAATCTTCTTTTTTATTTGGAATGACACAAGATTTATCAAAAATTTGAAAAAAAATTTTCAAAAATTTTCAAAAAAAAATATATTATTCATGAAAAAAGTGCCTCCAAAGTTCAAAATAAACAACTTACACGCCGCTGAGACGTCATTGATCAGCTGTGTGCTGGTCATTTCTCCACTTTTTCTCCTTCTTTTCCTCTTTTCGAGCACTTTTTCGGTCCAATTTCCTCGTTTTTCAATGGCTATTCCATGTCCGACCACTTGACCCTTTTATGGAGCCTTACCAAGTACTTTGATCCTGATAAAAATGAATATTATGAACAGTGGAGGAGAGAGCGGATGGTTTTCTGACGAAATCGAACGGGGAAATGACCGAAATCACATGGCGGCGCGTGAAAACACGGGGAATTTGGGGTGGGCGGGGCTGATTTTTGGGTCGAAAACAGGTGCAATTGAATTTGCAAGGGTCTGCGGAAAATTTGCATACAATTTTTTGATAATTTTAAGTCAAAAATTAGCGAAATTTATAAAAAATCGGCAAAAAATCACGTTTTTTAAGAAAAAAGTGTTGCGACGCGTCGCGACGCAAAGAACGACCAAAGTTCGGGGAACTTTATGAAACAAAAACATGCCACAGATAAATAGCAATGTTTATTATCACAAACCATCTTCATTTCCTCAGGCAATTCACAAAAAATATAAAAATTTAGCCAAAAACATCAAAAATCCAAAAAATTTTCGTATTTTTTCAAAATTTTCTTTGAAAAAAAGAAAAATTCAACTAAAAAGTCAACAAAATACGATGGCAAATACTCTCTAGGTCCTCTACTATTCGCACAACATCAAATTCCGCAAGAATTAAGCATATCACATACAATTTAATTAACCAAAACAATAATAATCAACAAAATAAATTATCTCTTCTTCTTGTTTTTGCCTTTTCCCGTGGCCGATGGACCGGGTTGGGCGGGCGCTTGACCTTGTTGTTTCCGACTAGTCAGATTGGGGATCAACTGCGCACAAAGAAGCAGGATATCCCTTCGATTCTTGAAATCTTCTTTCACAAAAGATCCGTCGTCGTTTTTCAGCTGCACTTTGACTCGGCCAACGTCGGCCGGCTCACGACTCGGCTCGCGGGGATGCATTGTTTTGGCCTGAAGAGTAAGAAGATCAGAATTGGCCAAAAAATTTTGCTCATGGCTACATTATTCTCAACGTATCTTAACCAAAAAAAGGCTTTCTCATCTTTTTTCTGTCCTTTTGGCATCAAAGATTAATCTTATTTTCCCACAGAGGGCAAGTGCAATATTGATGTTTAATGCTAAGCCAAGTTAAACAAAGAGTTTTTTCAGCAGCAACAGAATTCAGTTTCTTACTTGAAAAAAACAAAATTTTGCATTGTCGCAAAACTTTGACTGAAAAATAATCAAATCTCCGGTCTGATACCTAGTGTAATATAAATTCTTAATTTCTAACTCGAAATCGAAACGGACATGTGAAAAATGAACCGGGCTTCCGAAAAAATGGCCTGGATCAGCTAAAGAGCGCTAAAGTCTCTTATAAAATATGAATTTCATCATGAAAACATCAAAATCTTGTTCTACACCACCTTCCCCTCATGTATAACGTAACACTCGTCACTAAAAGCGAAAACAATCAAAATAAAAATCAAACTTACATCTAGTCTGCAGGTAAAGCCTTTTGCGACAAGAACATCGTAGATTTCCTTGGCAGTCGGATTCCTTACGGCCTAAAATCAGAATAAACATTCAACACATTCAATTACCTTCTCCTTCGCAATCCTTCTTCCCTTTTCAACGGTTTTCTCTGAGTTGATATAAATGGGATAAACACAGAGCCAACGTGCCGGATCAGAGTATGGTTTGTCCAATTCTGGCATTTTTGGGCTGAAAAACTAAAGATAACTTGAAAATTGTCTAAAATAAGGTAAAAAAGGGATTATTTTAGTCAAAAGTTGTCTAGAATAATGTCAAAAACACGTTTCAAGAAGGAAACAACAATGTTTTGCCTTCCAAATGAGCAAAACATGGAGAGAAATAAAAGTGCAAAAGAAATTCAATAAAAATTTTTGCAATTTTTTCTCCAACGAAGCAAAAAATATTATTTTGACATTTCGTCCACGTAGTATTGGAAATTTAAATCAGCGAAGTGTAAATTGCGAAAAAGTTTGTAAAATACGTAAAATTTTATTTTGTTAATCTAAATAGTGTAAGATGCAACACTTCTGTCAATATCATCTTTTTTTTTGTCATTTTTGACATTACTTTAGCTTGGTAACGGCAAAAAACGAAAATTGATGATTTGAAGATGATAGCCGGTAATTTTGAAGAAAACTTTGGAGGCTGATGCAATAATAAGGCTTGTGCTTTGTTTTATTATTCATTATTAACTTTATTTTCCAATCTAAATTGCTGAAAAATCAATTTTTTCTGAATTTTAAGCAATTTTTTTAGTTTTTTCCATAAAATCCGTAATGTCTTATTTGTCCTGCATGATATCCCGAATCCGCTCTATAATTAATCTGCACGACCGCATGGTGCTCAAATTTATCCATTCCAGCCGATTCCCAGGCGCCATTCGAATGACCAGTGTCCATTCAAAGGTCACCATGACGACGCCCCGGATCGTTATGGGAAAGCCGCGAATTGGGGCCCTGAAGGCCTGGAAAAAACCCCCTCCTTAATGCCGGAGTGTTAATTACGCCGGACATGAATCTGGACAAATTGGAAGTCGCTTTACAACGGGATCCCAGCCAGGTCACGGTGGACGAACTCAATGAGTGGTACGAGCAGTTTTTGGCGGTAAGTAGAAGCTTTTTTGCGATGTCCATTGGCCTTTAATTGGCTCGAAATGGAGCAGAGTGGACCAAAAAGTATTTGAAATCAATTATCAAGGGATTAAATTGAGTTTGCCCTCCTTTTTTCTCATTTTTTTGCTAATTTACCTAGTGTAATGTCCGAAAAGTCAAAAAAATAATATTAATGGGTCTCTGAAGGTGTAAGGTAATTTTATTTGGCGGAAAATTGTTTGTTGGTCATTTTTACGTCTAAAAAGGCAAGATTAAATATTACTTTTCTATTAGAAAAAAATTTTTTTGAGATAATTCAATTTTTTGACCAAAATTTTTCTAAAGTAGGGTAAATGTGGCTATATTGACTGTTGTAGATTGATATTATTGATCTTTTTCGACTTGAGCGATTCAAAAATGGAGATAAAAATAAGTTTTTTACACGGTTTTGGAAGTTTTTTATTTTTGCACGGTGCAATCTTTTTCAGAAACTTGCACTGTGCAAAAAGACGGAAAAAATTGCACTGTGCAAAACTTAAAATACGATTTTTTAACATTTGCCATGACTGACAAATATATTTTGATAGAAAAAGTCAAAATTTTGTGTTGGATTTTTCGCACAGTGCATATTTCAAAAACCCGGGGAGATCTGCACTGTGCAAAAAATTAAAATTTTTTTTCGAATTTTTCAATGTATTTTTGATCATCAAATTATTTTGTTATAATTTTGGTCGTATTTCAGCACGAGATCACCGGCGACGAGCCCTCGGAGGACCTGAATTTGATCTATCGCGGCCTCAAATGGGTCATGCAATACGAGCACACGAATGCCGAGGAACTCCGCGAATTGGCCGAACAACAGGCCATTGAGAACGCCGAGAAGGAGGAGAATTGGGAGTTGGAACGCGAGAATTTGATGGTAATATTATTACAAAATCAAAAAAAAAAAAAAAAAAAAAATTTTGGATTACTGTAACAAAAATTTTTTTTAGGAGCAAATTTCCGAACTCCGAGAGAATATCACAAGTAAAGCTGGAGTCGACATGACCAGTGAGGCTTTCCGAGCCGAGATTGATAGCCTGAGGGCGGAGAATAGTCATCTGAAGCAGATTAATCGAGAAAGAGACATCGAATTGGCCGATCAAAGGGAGAAAATGGAGGAATATTTGGGGAGAATCGGAGTGCTGGAGAATGAACGAAGGAACTTGACCAATGCGGTAGGAAGTTTTCAGAAAATTGACCTTCAAAAATAACTTTCTGATCTACAATGGATATGAACATGTTTCATCGTATAACATGTCCCTTTTCGGTTTAGACTGGAATTTGTGGGTTGAATTTGTAGTATACTTTGTTAAAAGCACTAGAATATACAGAATTGTGTGTAAAACTCAAATTTGGCAGTGCATGCCCTTGGGAAAAATTAAACATGTTTTGTCGTATAACTTGTCGCTTTTTTGAGTTAACACTGAAAATGAGATTTAGAGTAGTATTTTATATTCTGTAACGCTTGAAAATAAAAAATTGCTTCATAGACCTTCAGGCACAGCCAGACATGTTTCATCGTATAAAATGTCGCTTTTCTGTTCTAACGCTAGAAATTAGGGTTGATTTTGACAGATAATGATTCTCCATCTCTTTAGTATCTAGAACACACGGTATAGTCATAAATTTCCACTAAATTTACATCTAAATTTCATAAAAGATATCAATTCCAAGTATAATATAACCTTTCCTCAATTTCAGCAAATCCAACTTGAAGATGCGAATAAAGAGTTGACCCGCCGGATCTCCCGCATGACCGAGGACATTCCCATCGGTGATAGATCGGAATCCAGGATGCTTCGACAGCGACACGAGCAAGCAATCGAGTTGAGTAATCAGCTTCGGAGTGTGATTGCACAGAATGAGGAGCTCGAAAAAAGGGCGGAGAGCCTCAGTCAGAACCTGGAAGAAGCTACAGTCTTGATCAAAGAGGCGAATTCGAAGAACGAAACGTTAAGAGAGCAGTTGGACAAGGCCAACAACACGTTGGATAAAGTGGCCGAGGAAAATGTGAATATGAAGAGAATTGTAAGTCAAACAAAGGCTAAATAGTTCTTCAAAGCATGTATAGTAAAATTAGATCAATAGTCAATTTTTGGCAACTTAATTTTCTCGTTTTTTAGCTCGATGGAAAGGACGAACAGCTGTTTGCAAGCAAAAAATCGACCGAAATGACGGAAAAACAATGGGAGGATCTGGTCAGACAAAAGGATATTCAATTACATCGACTCAGAGAGAACATCAAGAAATATGAAGTGAGTAATTCAAAATTTTGGGTAAAGGGACATTTTATACGAGAAAATTTATTTTTCATTTTTTTGTCGTATAAAATGTCACCACATAGAAAAGTTGCAGTTCTACTGTGAATCGAGAGCCTTATTGTACGACAGATAGCTTTAAAATATTTGAATAACTTGTTTTCTAACGGGGCGACATTTTATACGAAGAATTTCAATTTTCAAAATTTTTCGTATAAAATGTCGCCCTAGTCAAAATTGTTGATTTTGTTAAACCCTTAGGTCATCACAATGGATTTTTTAATCAATTTTCTTTTTCAAGAAGACATTTTTTACAGAAAATTTTTTTCGTGTAAAACGTCACCTTATTGAAAAATGATGACTATACTTCAATATCAATTTTCAGACCGAAATCACTGATCTCCGCACAAAAATCCAGTCCGATTACACGCTCGAACGGGAACAAGAGCTGGAGAAACTTCGGGTAGAGCTGGTCGAAGCGACCAATCTGGCCCGTCAATTGTTCGGCGAAAGGTCTCAAGATCAAGATGGAACAAAAGTGGATGCCACCAGTCAAATTAGAAACCGAATGGTTCACATAAACAAGGAGCTAACCGAGTGCAGAGAGCAGCTGAAAAAAGAGGAATCTGAGAGGAAGTCGTTGGAGAAACAGTTGGAAAACAAGGACACAGCGTTGGCCAAGGCGCACGGGGATCTGGCCAGACTTCGACAGGTTTGTTGGCTTGGTCTTGAAATAATAATTTTTGGGGTTTTTAGCAGCTTTTTGGGTCCACCGACGAGTTTGTCCGCGATTTGGAGAGACAGTTGGAGTTCCGCGATCGCCAAATCGCTCAGCTCACCGTCAAATGCTCGCTGCTTCAGCTGGAACTGGAGAAGGAGGAAGAACAAGATGCCCAGAGATCAGAGAAGCCATTATCGCCAACTTCTCCACACGATCATAGCAGATCTAAGCCTCCGAAACCGCCGAAGCAACGAAAATCCCGGCCAAAATCGGCTTCCAGAGAAGGGCCGAAAACAGCGGCCGAACGGCCCAAAAGTCCGGCTGATTTGGAGAGGAGGACAGACAAAGAGCCTGAGGACATTGGGCATGAAGATCTTCCAGATTCACCTGCTAGTTCGTCGAGTTCGAGGAGTTTTGATTGGGATGAGGAGAAGAACCGACTGGTCAAAGAATTGAAGGAAAAAAGGACAAAAGAGGCCCTAGAATTTATTGAGAGGATATCAGAGGAAGTCAATACAACTGTGCCGTTCGATGCGATCGCTCCACTTTACAATGAGCTGAGGAAAGCGCATGAGGTTAGGAGTTATATTATAGTAGACAGTAGATGGTTCAGTAAGGGAGTGCTCGAAAGAGGACTCTTGGATTTGCTTGAAATTAAGAATATGAGGGCTAACTAGACTATATTTTAGCTACTAAAAATTTCGGCTCGCTCTGTAAAATAACAGCCGAGATATTTAGCGATTTTTAGACCTCGAATTTGCAATTTTACGATTTTTGAAAATTGATGACTAAAGCAATATAAAACGCGTTTAACCTGGCTTCAAAGCTATTTTTAACACTTTTAGAAGCTCAAAGACAAAGACTCAATCAACGACCAGCTTCAAGAGTCGATAAAATCAACAAGAATGACCATTTTAACACTGAAAACGGACTTATCCAAGGCCAAAAAAGAGCTGGAAGACTTCAAAGAGCAAATTCTCGGCTCCGAATGGCAGAATCCAAATGACTCCGAGTTCAGAAAAGAGTTCGAAGCCTTGAGAGTGGCGAACATCGAATTACAAAATCTGGCCGACTCGGTGCGAATAAATGGCTCCGATTTGGAGCGGAGGTTCGAGGAGAGCGCGAGACGGCTAATTCATCTGGGAATCGAGAATAGTCGACTCGAACGACAACTGAAAAATGAGAAAAAATTGAGAGAAGTGATCAGCACACAATATCAATCAGCTCAGCTGAGATTGACAGGGATGAGTTCGGAGAATTCGAAAAATTTGAGGAGCTTGGTCAAGGAGAATGTAAGTCAAAATTCCGAGAAAAAAACGGTTGAATTTTGATGAAACCCGGTGGAAATTTAGATTAAGATTTTTTTTTGAAGATATTCGAAATTTTTTAACTTGCACTTTGCAGAAAACCCCGAAATTTTTGGCTTCAAAAAAATTTTTTGGATTTTGCACGGTGCGAAATTTTTGAAAATTCGAAAGTGGCAAGATTTTTATCAAAATGGGCAAAAATTTAGATTTCATTTTTCTAACAATGATAAAAAATTTTTTAACCCGCGCTTTGCAGAAACGAAATTTTTAGTGAGAAAATTTTTTTGCACGGTCCAATTTTTCTTAATTTTGAGCGTGTTGAAACCTCAGCTCAAAAATGATTTTTAGGAGCAAAATGTCTTGGAGATTGCGCGTTTACACAACATTGTCTTTCATTCTGTCCCTATGAAGACTTATGATGGACTGTTGAAGAAGTATAAAAACTTGCTTCACAATTATACAGTGACCATGTTGGGGAAGTCTGAGGCGGAAGCAGATGCTGGCTATGAGAGCGAGGTAAGTTGATCATATTTATTGCCTTGTGGCAATGGTAATTTTTCCAAAAAATATGTCATCATGACACATTTTTTCTAAAAAATGTGTCATGATGACACATTTTTTGAAATTCGAAATATAACCTGGTTTTCTGAAAAATAGGTCATCATGACTATTTTGTCGGAAAATTATGTCATAATGACACATTTTTTGGAATTCGAGAAGTAACCTTGTTTCTAAAAAATAGGTCATGCTGACGATTTTAAAAAATATATGTTATGATCACACATTTTCCCCTAAAAAATCCGTCATTATGACACATTTTTTGGAATTCGAGAAGTAACCTTGTTTCTAAAAAATAGGTCATGGTGACTATTTTTGAAAAAATTCATTATCATCACACATTTTTCCCCTAAAAAATCCGTCATTATGACACATTTTATCTTCAGATTGATGACCGAAACTTTGACATCTCGCTAGCACCGGCCCTGACCGCCGACACAAGTCCAGAGGAACTGATCTCCGAGAACAAAACCCTGCGGGAAACAACGGAAATCCTGGAGAAGCAACTGCAATATTGGCAGCGAAAGAACGACGAGAAAAGAGAGGAAATCGACCATTTGCAGTCGTTTGTCGACGAACTGAAAAAAGAGACGGATCTGAAGAGTTTGTTGGCCAATATGCAGGACCGATTTCTGTTGGCGCTGCGGGAGAAAAACGATGGGATCGAGGAGCAAATGGCCAATGAAAGGGACCTCCGAAAACTGGCAAAAGAGTTGAATTCGACCAAAAAGTTGTGGAAATTGGATCGACAGCGGCTTGTGGAAGTCGTACTGGCTCTTCAATTTAACATTGAAGTGAGTTTTGGATTGAGTTTAGCGAAAATTGAAGTGATTCTGCACTGTGCGGAGTAAAATTTTGTTAACCGCACTACGTGGGAAAAAATAAATGGTGAAGCATTAAAATTCGTATTTTACATATACCTGTGATGTAGTTCACAATCACACAAAAAAAATTTTTTTTGGCTCAGTGCTTCAGGGTAAAAAGTTCTTATCAATTTTTTCGACTGCACTGTGCGCAAAAGAAGGTCGAAAATCCGCACTGTGCAAAGGGAAATAAAATTTTGCACAGTGCGAAAAACTCTAAAATGGCATCTAGAGCCCTAATCAAATTTTTATTTTTCAATTTTTACCGAAAAATTACAGTAATCCAAACTTTTAGAAGCTCCGAGCGAGAACGGCCAAATCACTTACAGTAACTCAACTCCACGCTCTGGCCGAACTCTTCCGTGAAATGAAAGACAAGCTGACTTATCTAGACACCCGGAATCATGAGTTGGAAGTCAAGGAGATCGAAACCGAGGCCTCGCGGACAAGTTATGAAGCGAAAAGAGAAAGTATTGAGGAATTATTGGAGTATAACATGGATTTGGAGCGGGCGCAGGTCCGAATGGCCAATGTTTTGACTCAATTCAATCTTCTGAAGGCCGAACAAAGCCGAGGAGAGGCTAAAGTAGGATGGGCTGGGCTAAAATACGAAATTTTTTGTAGATAAAACAGCTGGAAGAGGTTGTCAGACAAAAAGATGAGGAATTGAGTGATCTAAAAGCGGAATTGAACGAGGTGGAGATGATGAAAATCGATCTGAGACCTCTACAAGAGCTGCCAAAACATTTGGAGACCAAAAGCCCTGAGGTAAAATAATTTTTGAAAACTTTTAAAATCGTATTTTACATCAAAAATTTGAATTTTTCTCTCAAATAATGAAATATAGCTGGGTAAAATTCACGTTTTCAGTCGACAAATCGCTCAGAAAAGCCCTCAAATCCGGTGGATGATCTGAGTTCGAGAAGTTCGAGCAGTTCAACCACAAGTTCAAGTGAGAATGCGGGGAAAGTGCTGAGAAATCTGCCGAAACCCGTGATTGTCGACAACTCAAAACAATATGAAGTGGAGATTGAGAGGTTAAAAGAGGCGGCAAGAGTCTCAATTGAGAGTTTACAGGTGAGTCGATGGAAATATCCGCAGTTTTTATGGTGGTGTAGGTCAATAGTTGTGGTGATCAAGGTGTGAAATTCGGATTTTCAGATTTTCTTAAGATTTGGTATCTACGCTTTTTCTAGGCCGTATTTTATTTTCTGAAAGCTTTTAAGTTCACAGCGGCGGTCGAGATTTTGAACGCTCTTTATTTGATGAGAGACTATGGAAAATGCGGAGAGACGGTCAGAGAAAATTTTTTTTAGCTCTATTTTTCAGTCTTTCGCTTGAAAAGAATTAATTTTTTATGTGGAAAAATTACACCTACCTGTCATAAGTTTTTCAGACCAAAAAGCAGGAAAAATCATCCATTTTTTGCTCAGTTTTGATCTAAAAATGTCGATAATTTATGCAAAGTTCGATAAAAAAAATTTTGAACTGGGTTTGAGGAATTCTATTTGTATTTTTTGTAAAATTTCATCAAAATGATAGTCATTTTAAACCATTTTTTTTGGAAAAATTTCTTTTTTTACCAAAATTACGTGATATTTGGTCATTGCTTCGTATTTTACCACTTCCATTCCAGACCCAACTCTCCCAAAAAGACAAAACTATCGAGGAGTACAAAGAGCTCCTCGAGAAACTGTCCATCGAAGCCAATCAACATCACGAATCACCTCAAGCCGTCTTCGAAGAAGAACATCAACAGTTCTTGACTCGACTTTCAAGTTACGACTCTAATGAAGATGCAAATCGAGAGCTGATTGCACTAAAATGGGAGAAGCGAGAGCTCGAGGAAATCAACAGAAATCTGGCGGAGAGATTGAGAGAGTCGCAGGAAGCAATGGGAAAACGGAGAGAGTCCAGAGAAAGATTGGAGAGCGGGAAAGAAAGCCAGGAAGTCGGAGTTCAAGCCAACGTGAAGAGGAGGTCCAGGTGAGAAATTGAAAAATATTATGTTGGGGATGAGAATGACTCATAAATTGGATGTAAAATACGAGCAGTCCTTTCTTGGTTACTGTAAAAAGTTATCATTTGTTTTGATAATAATTTTTACTGTAAAAGAATTTAATAACGCCAGTAAAAAATTAGAGAACAAGGATGATTTCCGACTTGTGACATAGTAATACAAGTGACAAGTAAAAACACCAAAATTATGTAAATTTTTTTTGCTGCGATAAAGCAACCTTTAGTGTAGAAAAGGAATAGTAAAACACGCAAATTCCGGAGTTAGTTCTTCGAACTTGACCTCGAAAAATCAAAAAAGAATTGAGGAAAAGGTAATGGTAAAATACGTGAGCTTTAGCTCGAAAACCCCAAAAGAAATTGGAAAAAGTTATGTCATCAAATTTTGCAACAGATTTGACAAGGAAAGTACTTTTATGGGGGCTCCTACTTTTTGACGGGACATACCTCAAAACATCAGAAAAAATGCGCTGATCAAGTATATATAAATCTTAGCTGCCCATTTTAGGTTTTTAGGGGTGAAAATGCCCAAAAACTGGCTTAAATTCCCTACAAAAGGCGCAGGCATTCGAAACGATAAAAAGCGCAGTCGGTCTCTTCCTTCGGAAGAGAGCGGTGTGGCCGAGTGGTTAGTGCCGTAGTCTGGGAATCAAGAGGGAGGACGCTGCACGGGTTCGATTTCCCTTTTGGGCCGAAGTAACTTTTTTTAAAGTTGAAGGTCTGAAAAATAAATTTTTGTGCCAAACCTGATTTATTACGTCTTAGAAACTCAATAAACATCATTCTAAGCCAAAATAAAAATTGTAAAAATGTGAAAAATTGAGCGAAAAGGGGTTAATATAGGACTTTAAGTCATCTTCCGACTGAGTTTTCACCCCTAAAAACCTAAAATGGGCAGCTAAGATTTATATATCCTTGATCAGCACATTTTTTCTGATTTTTTGAGATATGTCCCATCAAAAAGTAGGAGCCCCCATAAAAGTACTTTCCTTGTGAAATTAAATTTTCGCGGTCTTTTAAAAAAAATATAGTAAAATACGACCATCCTCAATAACCAATTCTGGGTTAGTTCCCCCCGAACTGTAACTCAAAAAAGAACACCTGCCCAAGACAGGAATCGAACCTGTGTCGCCACGGCCACAACGTGGAGTACTAACCACTATACTACTTGGGCCGGTGACCTTATTTCTTCACTTTGACGACTACTTAGCTACTCTTCTTTTGAATACAATCTCAAGCGAATAAGAATTGCGAGAAATTAATGAGGTATTCGTATTCAGAAGAAGAGCAGCTGAGTAGTCATCAAAGCGAAGAAATAAAGTTGCCGGCCCAAGTAGTATAGTGGTTAGTATTCCACGTTGTGGCCGTGGCGACACAGGTTCGATTCCTGTCTTGGGCAAGTGTTCTTTTTTGAGTTACAGTTCGGGGGGAACTAACCCAGAATTGTTTATTGAGGATGGTCGTATTTTACTATACTTTTTTTAAAAGACCGCGAAAATTTATTTTCAAATCTGTTGCAAAATTTTATGAGATAACTTTTTCCAATTTCTTTTGGGGTTTTCAGCCCGAAGTTGACGTATTTTACCATTACTTTTCGTCACTGTATTCTTAAATCGCATACCTTACTTTGTCAATCAATGATCTTTACTTTCAGGTCTTCCGTCCCATCCAAATCGGCGTCAGAATCCGGCTCCGAACCTTCGACTTCGGACTCGGGAACAGTCGATGATTTCGACGCTCGGCCAAGACGCTCGCGCTCCCACAGCTCTCATTCCAGCACTCCCTCCAAACACAGTGAAGAATCAAAGGATTCCAAAGCCACTGGAGGCACTTATACGAAGCCAGTGGAGAACGAATCCCAAATTTTCCGACATCGAAACGAACTACGACGCCTTCGAATGAGACTCATCAATTTGGAAGCGACCAATCGAGAGCTACGGAATGAATTGGAGTCCATGAAAGAGAGATATCGATTCCACGGCCAGCGAAATCCCGATCCGAATGCGGAAGTCAACATCTATCGAAGAGATAACGACAGGTTGAAGCGCGAAGTCGCCAATCTTCAGAAGACCAATGAAGAACAAAAGACCAAGATTGTGGAGATGGAGAAGAAGGAGAAACGGCAGATGAGCTCTATTGTAAGTTGGAGGGATTTTTTGGGGATTTCGAGATTGGAGAGATTTTAAAATACGTGGTATTCAGCATCCAATTTTCTTATAAATACATATTTAGACCGTAGTGGAGAAAACTACGGGCTTGTACCAAACGACAGGAATTATTGTTTCTCTAACGGTCCAGAAGTCAAAATCTTTTACATGCGATTTCGGAAAAGATTACGAAACACTATTGATAAAATGAAATTGAAATAAATCCACTAAAACGTAGACTTCCATAAAAGCCAAGACAATGACAAAATACGAGGTTCGTGGTTAGTGCCCCAAATTGTAACTCTGAAATCAAAAAATGTTACTTGATTCACAGTTATGCTATTTTAAGAATACATTGACGAAAAGTTATGGTAAAATAGGTCAACTTCGGGCTGAAAACCCCAAAAGAAATTGGAAAAAGGTAGCTCACGAAAATTTTGCAAGAGATTTGAAATTTTAATTTAAAAATTTTCGCGGTCTTTTACAAAAGTATAGTAAAATACGATCATCTTCAATATTCAATTCTTGGTTAGTTCCCCCGAACTGTAACTCAAAAAAGAACACCTGCCCAAGACAGGAATCGAACCTGTGTCGCCACGGCCACAACGTGGAGTACTAACCACTATACTACTTGGGCCGGTGACTTTATTTCTTCACTTTGATGACTACTCAGCTACTCTTCTTCTGGATACGAATACCTCATTAATTTCTCGCAATTCTTATTTGCTTGAGATTATATTCAAAAGAGGAGTAGTTGAATAGTCATCAACGTGAAGAAACAAAGTCGCCGGCCCAAGTAGTATAGTGGTTAGTACTCCACGTTGTGGCCGTGGCGACACAGGTTCGATTCCTGTCTTGGGCAAGCGTCAACTTTTTTGAGGTTTAGAGCTTACTTTTAGGAGAAGTTTCACCGGAATTTGAGTATTTTAACGTCTAGTTTTTATAACTTTACCGGGTGTTGTTTTTATTTCGTAAACTTTTTTTTATTCTCTTAAAACCGTCTTTATTTTTTTTATTTTTTTGCCGTCTTGACTGATTTTTCTTTTCTTACGGGGTTTTTACCCCATTCTCTTCGTATTTTACCATAATTTGAACCCATTTTGAGTCTCAACCCAAAAAAATCCATTCTAGGACACTGTGAAGCTTTGGGAAGACAAAAAACGCATCGAAGTGGAACGGCAGACCCTCGAACAGCGCTGCGCCAAGCTCCAAACCAAAATAAAGGAGTTACAAAATGGCCAAGAAAGGCGCGACAAGTTGATCGAGAAGATCAAAAACTCATCCGGAGCGAATGTTGGAGCCAATCAACGGCTCCAAAAAGAGTTGGAAGAGACTCGCCGAAGGCTGGCAGAGATGGAAACTGCTGAAGAGCAGATGAAAAAACAAATTACAGTGCTCCAAAACACGGTGAAAGCGACTACAGAGAGATTGGAAAGCGTGGCTAGGGTACGATTTTTTGTTGTAAACTTGATTTTTTTTCAAAAAAAAAAATTTTTTTTTTTTGATTTTGCAAAAAAATCTTTCAGGAGCGCCAATCGCTAGTCCAGAAGATGCACCGACAAACCTCGACAGCCAAGCCTGAACAGACCTCGATTTCCGTGCAAACCTCCACAATTCCAACGCGATCTCAGCCCTCTTCGCCCATCAAATCACCAATGAAACCAAATCTTCCCTCAAAAGCGATCAAAATCATAGCGAACAGTCACAAATCGACAAACACTGCAGAATACTCGAACGAGGACGAACGAAAATGGGTGGAGGAGGCGAGAGAGGTGAGGGAGAAACTTTTTTAAGTGTAAAATACGAGGTCCAATAGATTTTTGTCGAAAATTGGCCCAAAAAATGGGGAAAATAACATTTCTGACCAAAATATGATCTAAAAACACGTTTTTTGTAAAATACGATGACCATTTTTTACTGGAATTCTATTTTTGCATGTATAAAAGATCCTATTACACAATTCCCCTCAAAAAATCCCAAAAAAATTTGTTTTTTCCAGCTACGCCTCGAGAATATGAAAGTCACCGAAGAACTAGAGATCCTGCGGAAAGATTACACAGTATTAGAGATGGAATTCACCACGTTCAAGAACCTAAAACGACGATCCATTCATGACAATGCGGCCATCAAACTGTTGGAGGACAAGCTGAAAGGAAAGGAGAGGGAAATCCAGCATATGGTAGGTGATTTGGCTGTCTGAACATCCTGTATAAGGTGTTCGAAAACTCTGGAAGTAACGGACTAGCTAAGTTGTACAGCGGCGGACCTGATGGCAAAAAACATACCATTTTTCATCCGGGAAGTATCAAAAATGTGGCAAAATACCTCCATTTCCAAGTGAAAGACTCCGATTTCAAAAACGCACCCCTCTTTTTGTGAGGGTCCCTTCGAAACGGAGTTTTTTCACTTGGAGAGGGAGGTATTTTGCTGCATTTTTGATACTTCCCGGATGCAAAATGGTACGTTTTTTGCCAATGGATCCGGTCCTCCGCTGTAATGTACTAGCTAAGCTGTACAGCGACGAACCTGACCCCGTGGCAAAAAACGTACCATTTTGCATCCGGGAAGGGACCAAAAAAGAAGCAAAATACCTCCCTCTCCAAGTGAAAAAAACTCTTTTGGGCGTCGCGCTTCTGAAATCGGAGTTTTTTCACTTGGAGAGGGGAGACATTTTGCTACTTTTTTGATACTTCCCGGAGGCAAAATGGTATGTTTTTTGCCACTGTATTTTGCCCCCAAAAGCCACAGGATGCTCTCAATTTTGATGAAAGCAACTTTTTTCCTACTAAAGTGGCAGAGATATGGCCAAGAGACCTTTTCTTCTCTGACCACTCTCTGCATTTCCCGTTCTCCCTGTGCGGAAAAGATTTTTGAATATTTCCGATGCGGAGGCAAATTGCGAGCTAAAATTTTCAGGGGTTGATTTATGGCCTATATAGAGTAAATCGGCAAAATTTCAAAAAGAAAAAAAAATCGAAAATTTGATATTGTGGTATCCTATCAAATTTACAAAAATCTAAAAAATCTTTCAAATATTACAGATTTAACTACTTTTTCATCAAAAAATCTATGCAAATACCAGTATTCATTCATTTATTGTTATTTTCAGCGTCAAAAGATATCAGAATTGGAGGATCAAGTTCAATGGTTTCGGTTGCGTCATTAGCCATCTACTACAACAAAAATGGAATGTCACTTCTTCTTTTTGTAAACTCCGCCCTTCTTTTTGATGGCTTTGTTCTTTTCCTCGGCTTCTTTGCGTTTCTTCGCCGACGGTTCCGAGGTTTTTTGGCCGAGAGAAGTGAAGAAAGAGTCGATTCGGACTTGTTGGGCGGTCACTCGGGTCTTCTTCAGTCTGTCCAAGGCGCTGCGGATTCGGTCTTCGCTGAAAATGTGTTGTTAATTCTATTGTACATAAAGTTTTATAAAAAAATTGGAAAAATTGAACAAAAAAACGACATTTTTGGCAAATTGTTACCTAAAATAATATAAAAATGTTTCGAAAATATTTTCAAATCCCCCTAAACTAGTTCAACTCGACATTACAGGCTCTAAATTCACAGAAAAAAATAAAAACTTACTTGAATTGATTTTTCGTGCACATAATTTTGATAATTTCATCTTCATCATGATCCTTCCAGACCAAATTTACAGTGTCCCCATCGATGACGTCCGGAGACAAGAATAATTGACGAGCTTCGGCGAATTTCCAGTCCTCTGGAGGCGGGTATTTCTAAAAAAAATCCACATTTTCTTCAAAACTTCAAAAAATTATATTATTTTAGGTAATAAACCTAAAAATTTGACCAAAACTTAACAAAACCAAGCTGGAAATCACCAAAAAAGTTTTTAAAAATCCCCAACTCACCTTTGTATCAAGATTTTCCAACAAATTTTCGATGGTTCCATAGGTTTTTATGTATTCATAAGCTTTTTTGGGGCCGATTCCCTTGATTGAGGGGCAATAATCACATCCAAGTAAAATACAGAGATCAATAAATTGTTCGTTAGTCAATTCGAGACATTCCAGAATGCGGCTCAGGTTGTATTCCTAAAAATACGCAAAAAAAATATATTATCCATGACAAAAAAGGTGAATTTTGATGAAAAAACGTGTTTTTTGAATGATTTAGAAGAATTTTTTGTAGAAATACATAGAATGAGCTAGTATCTCTCTATTCCCACCTTGATTGGTATCTTTTTGGCTTCACTGAAGGTCAGATGTCTCAATAAAACAGTAGAGCCAAAGGTCAGCGCATCCATATCCTCCGTGGCGGTCGCGTAAACTTTGCCCTTCTTCGCCAGCTCAGCACATTGTGCCTCGGCCTCGCACGGGGCCTCAACTACAGGCACACCCATCGCTCTGAGCAGGCGTTTGCATTGCTCGTTCTGTTCCTTGGTCACCTTCACCAGTCGGCGTTGGAATTTCTCGATCATCTCGGTGTCCTGCTTCTCCAAGGCTTCGTCCAGTTGTTTCTGAGCCTCATCACGGCGTTCTGTGCGCTTCTCCAGCTCACCGGACTTGAGTTCTGGGGGTTTTCCGTCGAAAACATAGACTGGTTTGATTCCATTCTCCATCATTCGAATCGTCCGGTAAAACATACCGTTTAGGTGGCTGAAAACGAAATTTATGAGTGTTGATGAGCTACAGAAACCTATAAAGACCTTAAATCTCTAATTAAGCAAGCTTATTCACAATAAGGCATACAAAAATCAACAATTTATATTGCACTAGGTATGAAGAACGAATTTTGTAAAAGTAGTCAAAAGAAAGATAAAATTAGATGTCACAAAGGTTGGGCTGGGGCTTAAAAGAGTTAGGCTAGCTTTTAAAACAATTCATAGGTCTATCAAGATTTATTACAACAGTTATTTTCATAGCTTTTACACAATTAAAGAAACAATAACATAAATGGCTGATATAAACCGCAAAACTCTTAGACGGACTCAAGAAGTAGCTTCTAAGCTTGCCAACAGTCTCATTGCCTGATACAATCAAATCTATCAAGTCATTTCAGATCTAATCACCTTGAAATGCACAAAAATATAAAGACCTCCAATCCCAGCCCATGTCAAAATAATTTTCATCAAATCACGTTCGTCAGTACCTAAAAGCAAACAACAAGAATACTAATTCAACTTACGATGTAGTTTCTCCTTGCTCATTGGTCAACTGTGAGTTATCCTGGCGAATTGCTATCAGAAATTGATATAAACTCATGGAGGCATCAACAGCCACCTTCCTGCCCAAAAACGCTTTGATCTCAGCCTCTTTGGTGCCCTTCTCCGCATTCTCCGTGATAACCTTGTTCAAGTCCTTTATTCCCATGATTAGAGTGTTCTATACAGATTGAAAAAGGTTAGAATTGCTGAAAATTAAAAGAATATAAACCATGGAGCATGTGGAATATAAAAAACATTCAGAAGCGCCCAAATCATCATGATAAATCGAGTTAGCGAACAAAAAAAGAAAGATTAGGTAGTCTTTCACCTTCCTGCAGGATAAAAAACGTGATACCAATTTCGTTTTCAATGATAATACCCTTTATCAGGTGTGAAAGATCCATTAAACCATATTCTGTGAAAGCTCACTGCATAAAACACTTGGTAAACGTGAGTTGCAAATAAAAAGCAACAAACAAAGACTTTTTTCTGCAAAAATATTTTTTACCGCCAATTGTGTGACATTTCGCCGTTTGGGCCAACTGTCTCTGCATTTGGGTCAAGTCTTACTCTGGCGCCAGAGTAAGACTTGACCCATCTGGCAGCTATTTCTCGGAGAAAAACGAGATTTTTTGGTCAGTTCAAGTAAATTGTGTTGTAAAGTGTCAAATATACATAGTACAATGTTTATTCATTCAAGTATCTTTATCTTCACTTTTGGCCTGAGTAGTAGAAATAGACAAAATTGGCTTGGTCTTCATAGAGTGCCGTTCGTTTGAATTCGGCCTTTCTCTTGAGGCGGCGATCCTATCTCTTGATTGAGGTTTCGTTCCACCTGAAATTTGTCCACGGGATCGAGAGGGAGCAAGTTTCAGGTTCTCCGAAGATCTGATTCTGCTTTGGACTCCAATCTCACGCGAAAATCCGCCGATATTTGCGGCGTTGGACTTGGCGAACGACATAGGAGAGGATCGGCGCATGTATGAGTGGATCAAAGGAGTGGCAGCCCAATCGGGAGTGTAGCTGAAGAAAAAATTATATTATACTAGGCATTAGAGGTTGTCGCTTCTATCGCAAAACTTACTCCCGAATAAGCGATTGCTGCGAGCGTTTTTTGGCCTTCACCAGGACTCTTACACCTTCGTTGTTGTCGATGGCTTCTTTGGAACGGACAATCTTCATCTCGGTGGTTCTTTCCTTGATGCTCTTCCGGCGTTCTTTCTCGATCTCCTCGACTTCCTGCTTGTCCTCAACGCCGTAGAAGGTCTGAAATGCAAAATTCAGAGCTTGAAGAATGTCTACTATTTAGTTAGGCCAACAAAAGGGAACTGGGACGATTGGGGAAACCGAAAAGTATTGTTTTTTCTCGATGCAAATGTCGAAATTAGGATAATCGAGGTTGCTTATTTCGAAAATGACATTCGTTTTTTGGTTATTACTTTTTTCCTTAAGTAGTACTGTAAAGTAGTAATTCTTTTAATTTTTTTTCATGAATACTCGATTTGGAGTTTTTGGTGGTGCTGCTTTCAAATCAAAAAATGAATGTCATTTTCGAAATCAGCACCATCGAAAACCCCTAAATCGAATATTCATAAAAAAAAATTATAAAAATTACTACTTTACAGTACTGCTTAAGGAAAAAAGTGATAATCAAAAAAAAATTAATGTCATTTTCGAAATCAGCAACCCCGATTACCCTAATTTCGACATTTGCATCGAAGAAAAATAATACAGGGTGGGCCACTCGAAACTCCTCCCAACATCTTTTCAGGTATTTCTCCGCCAATAATGCACCAATTTCTATAAAATTTATATCAAATTGAAGCTGAGACACCCCATTTCTTGTACACCAAATATGGCCCGTCTAACTTCACGGAGGCACCCGTACTGACCTTTTACATTTTCATTCCAAATTTTGGAGCCCGAAATCGGTGAAACTTAGAAATTTTTTGGAATGATTTTCAACTGAGTTTCTCGGACTTAGAAAATTTTTGGATTACCGGCAAGAAAAAAGTCGACAAATTCGCGGAAAAATTTCTAAAACATTAAAGTTTACGTCCGTACCAAGTGTGTTAAACCCATATTTCAGCCAGGCGAGGTACCAATTTGGGCGAATGAGAACGAAAGCTGTTTTCCTGTGCAATCTAAGCCTGGAAAGTTTCTATGCATCTTCGGGGTGGATGTCATCATGCATGTAGACAGCTTCGTCCATTTTTTAACATTTTGAAAAATTTCGAATAATTAAGCCTGTCGCCCCCGATCACGAAAGCAACGCCTTGAAGAATAATTTTGACTATTCCGTTGACTACCATCATTTTTTTCTGTTGCTTATAAGACTTTTATTTAGCCAAAGGCGCGAACATTTTCCAATTCGAGTGGCCCACACTGTACTTTTCGGTTTCGCCAATCGTCGAACTCCGCAGCAAAAGTAATGAGCATTTTGGACATTTTTTACAAAAATTTTATATTACTTTAGGTCCAAAAACAAAGAAATTAGTAAATTTAGTCCTCACCTTCTTCCGTTTCACTTCCTGAATACTGTAAGCGATGCAGGCAGCCGAAATAGCGATAACGCCGAGGCCAGCGGACACAAAGTAGTGGAAATTTGGCGATAAACCTTCAATTCCGTCCACACATTCAGCCATGATGGATAATAAAATGAAAAAATAAATAAATTTTTTTTTGTTTTTTTATTCCCAAAATCCTAGCTATGCTAATTTCAGGCCGAAACGTCAAAATCTTTCTCAATTTATCGCTCAAATTCAACAAGAAACAGGGAACAATAACAAAATTAGTAGGCATCACCATCTTCAAGATTATCATCGGAGTCTCCGCCCTCGCCGTTATCAAAGTAGTTGTGGACATAATCGTTGTCTTCCTCTAGGTAATCGTCATCCGAGAAGGGCTCTTCATCGTCGTCGTTCTTCTTCTCGACATCATCTTCTTCTTCCTCTTCTTCTTTAATGTCTCCCTCCTGAAAAAAATGATTTTCCTGCAGATTTTCAAGGTCAAATTAAATCGAATTCGATATTAAAATGAAGAAGAGATCCCGTTCTGCCTTATTTTAGCCATTAGGATTCAATTTACAGCGCTGACACTTGATAAATTGACTTACATTCTCCACCACCACCTTCTCCTTGGCTTCGAGTTTGGCCAACCTCTCAGCGACCGCTTCGTCATCCAACTTCCTCTTCTTTACTGTTCTCGTTGAGCTGCTGGACTCCCAATTAAGTTCGGCTGGCACACGGGTGAACATCGGCTCGAATGGCTCCTTCCTCACCTTCCGAAACTTATCCGTGTACCTGTAGACGTCTTTGTGAGCTCGTTTTGGTTGATATATCGCTGATTCGTGGAACCGCTCGAGGAGTTCTAGCTTCAAATCGGTCATGAAATTGAGCTCTGTGGTAGGTTGCACTTCTCGGACAGGTCTGGGCAGAGGCTACAAAAGGTTTCATAAATTTTTGATCAGAAAAGGGTGATCTCTTGCAATTTTTTCAGTTCTCTGCATTTCAACATATTTTCCAAAGTGTAAGTATCAATTTATGTTGTAATTAGATGTTCCTGTCCTAAAAGTGTAAGAAGAACAATATCAAGGGCTTACCGGATAAAGCGGCGGCGGATCCTTTTTCGTCTGCGTGTAGGTTCCAATTTCATGTCGCTGAAGGCCTAGGGCGTTGGCTATGGCTCGAACACCCGACACATGTCCTCCTTTCCCTCCACGACTCATCTGAAAGGAAAATTTTGTGCTCTAGTCAAAATAATAAAAATTTCGCGAGTTTGAAGAAACAGATGCCATGGATAATATAAATAATTGCTGATTTAAGAGAAATGAGGGATAGAAAAAATTTAGTTCGACCTCGGGGTGAATTCTAGAGGTTTGAAATTAGAGAAAAGAGAGATTCCCGTAAAAAAATCACAAATTTTATATTACACTTGGTCAAAAATATAAAAATAAAATTTAATGTTTTTCTCCGAAAAATAACGTACCTCAAACGGTTTTCTACAGCTAAAATACCACCCAAAATTTCCGACCCATCCATCGGAAAAAATATTTTTATTTATTCCGAAATGAGTCAACTCTCACTCTCTCGGGTCAACTGTTTCACTGCTTCGTTTATAGCCGTAGAATCAGGGGTGGTCAGTGGGCCGGGCCGGCCCGTGACGGGCCGGCCCGGCCCGGCCCAAACGGGCCGGCCGGGCTCAAAAATGGAAAATTACAAACGAGCCGGGCCCGTCACGGGCCGGGCCGGGCCGGGCCGCGGGCCTGGGGTTTTTCCGGCCCGGCCCGGCCCGTCTAAATTACAATGCCAAACCGTTGGCATTCATTGTTTTCGCGCCGGGAAAATTAATTGATGTCGTTATAGTTGCTGTTTCCCAAGTTCTAAAACGTTTACAAGTTTATAGTTCCATTATAGAACCACAAAACTATCACATTGATCCTTTACTAGCTAGATCAACGCCTTTTTTGCCTCGGTTTAGATCCCGAGCCTGGGCGCAGTTCGCAGAGCCCTCTATAGACGGGCCTGCACGGGCCGGGCCGGGCCGGGCCAGGCCCGTCACGGGCCGGGCCGGGCCGGGCCTGGAAAAAGACTAGACGGGCCGGGCCGGGCCGGTAATTAGACGGGCCGGGCCGCGGGCCGAAAATCGGAAAAATAGGGTCCGCTGACCACCCCTGCGTAGAATACGTTACAAATAGCTACCACAAAATTTGAAACCTCTCGGTGTATAAAATTTATTATGACAAACTCAATATGCGTTATAACTACACGTATTACAATCAAATTCATTTAGATATGACAAGTGAAATTGAAGGTCGGCTAATCCGGATATCATTGAAGCCCTGAAAGTTGGCTAGTCGGTTCCGAAATACTTTGTGGTGAAGTATCCGGGGACATTCTCACACACCTCGCTGGTGACAATCGTCACTTTGGGATACCTCTTGATGATCTCGTTGATACCTAAAGTAATATAAAAAATTTTCAAAATTCAAGTTCCTACATTTCTGTCGAGCAAACAGAGTGATCAGGAAGATGTGGTCTTCTCGGACTTTGGTCGTGGTCAACATACTGATTGCATTTAGCACCGTAACTCCAGTACTTAGGACCGGGTACAACAACAACACTCTCCTTCGACTAATATCGCCCATAAATCGTGTGTACAGGACTCGTTGATCATCGCTGATCAAAATCTTCCCAATTCGAATGGAACTAAATACAAAATGAGACAAAATTTATCTTACACTTACCGACAACATTGCCTGAGGGCTTGTTCCATGGCCTCTCCACTGCGACACACGGACACTCCACAGTTCCCGTGGGCAAATTGGATGCCTTCGTAGGAATGGCCGGTCGGAGTGGTGATCTGACATTCGTAGAATGGGAGCCGATTCAGACCCGCTTCCAGGACCAATCTCATCAAACGGTCGGCCGAAAAGACGAAATCCGAGTGGTCGGTGTCGCTAAAAATGCATTTCATGTAATTTACAGACAAATCTATGGCGTTACAGAAAAGTTTGTGGCTCCAGAAAAATTTTTTTTGCTGAAAATCTCATATTAGCCTGAAAATTTCAAAAGTCAAATTCTCAGAGTCCGAAGGCCGGATTTACTTTAAATTAGGCACACGTCCTCCATTATAGCCAGAGTTCAATCCATGAAAATCTTAGCTAATTATGCCCAGGGATTGCTGAGACCCTGACAGACGAGAGATCATGGAAAATGAGGAGAGACGGCTAGAGAAAAAATCTTTTTTTTGGCTGTATTTTTATAGATTTTAACTCGAAAAATATAATTTTCTGAAAACGTCCTATCTTACACTTTATCGACTGTAATTTTTAAATAAAATTTGAAATAAAAAAAATTAATTCGAAATGAAAAAAAACGTAAATTTTTTAACAAAAATGCTTTAAAAACCTCGTGAAAAAGTTACCGATTTCTCAACGACGTATGCAGTTCCTTCAAGGATTCAGAAGGCGGTAAAACCACTAAATTCGCGGACGCCTCTTTATTTTCTTCCACAGCCATCTTTGATCCGAATTTTTTGAATCAAAATCCCATTCGGTCAAAACAAAATCAAAAGTTTTTTGATGGGAAAATACTTTGTATAGTCTAGTCTTAAAACAGAGTCAACGCTCTTTCAAAATTTGGCCGCAGGAAAAAGCGGGTTTAATAGGGAAAGACTTGACCCATTTCGGGTAAGACTTGACCCACTTTTATGAAAACATTTGGCAGGCTTTTACAAAGTGCGAGATGATCTCTGAACACTGAATAAAATGATTTGCAAAATTTTTACAGCGTGATTTTTCGAAATAACTATTGAAAATAGGCCTGGAAGGCATCTAATGGCATGAATAAGGTGCAAAAAATTAAGAGTGAAGACATGGCTCGCAAACGACTTATAATTCGTTAATTACAGGCCAAAACTGTAACAGAAACGTCAATGATTCCTATTATAACAGCTTTCGGAAAACTACTATCATTTCCAGAAACAACAGTGACTCCTGACACTCATGCCCTCAGGCGACACATCTTTTGAAGCCCCAAAACAAGAGTAATTCCCCGCTGGCTGGTCTCTATCAACGTTCCTTTCGACCCACTTGGCTGTCATCGGCTTCAAAATGCTTTCCGTTGCTCTGATTGGCAAGCATAATATAAGAGGTGCAATACCGTAGCGAAAGGCGGACTTGGCCATAATTAGGAGTGAAAATTGACGCCAATTAGGCGCGATGTAGACGGGCGCCAAAGCCGAGAACTGTTTGTCATCATAAAGGCCGAGAGTTTTTGTGGTGATGACAACGGCTTTCCCAGTCTTTGGTCTAAATGACACGTTGTTGGAGTACGGAATCGCAGGTAAGTTGATAAACTGTTTGTATGTTTATCAGGCTTTCACTGCATTGTAAACGATTTTTTTGATTACAAATAGCTATGTGACACTACTATGTTGAAGCAACGTATTTTACAAAAACTTTTGCTTCCAGCTTTGTGTAATGCACCAAACGCAACGATTTTTTGCAGAGTTACAGTTAAAAAAATGCTTTTTTACTTAGAACATTAACTTGTTTTGTATTGCTTAACTGAAGTCTCCGTTTTTTCGCGTTGAAAATCGTTTCCGTTAGCACGAAACCCAACGTTTCCGATAAAAATTCAATGAAGTCAAGCTTCGGTACAACGAATCGCAAAGTGCCAACATTTTTTTTGTAGAGATTCATTTTGTCCTAAAAAGTACCTTTGAGACTTACTGTTTGCTGCAGGCAGGTCTCACTTTGTCGAGGCGACATTATTTTTATTCCATCAGCGAAAGGGGGTACTCCAAGGGCGACGCTCAGATTTTGATAAAACCTGCCACAAATCTACAGGGTGTCCAGAGAAATTCCGCGGAAAGTGTTTATCGATTTCTCGGCGCACAGACAAGATATCCAAAAAATTCTTTTTGCATCAGAAAGAAGACTATGGGCGGTTTTTTGTATAAAAAAGTTTTTTTGTCCGCCGGCGCGGAACATATTGTATTCGGCGGAGACTTTTGGTAGCTTTTTTGGTCATCACACCAATCTTAAAAGCTTCAGTACGATTTCCGAGGGTTAAAAGCAGAATGTTATCTTATTTTTATGTTTACCAAACGTTTGGCAATGGAATGGCGAGCTTTCCGTATCGGCGGAGGCCACAACTCAGCTTCGGATAGGAGATGTCCCAAACATTATGTGGCTAGCATTCTTTTCTGATTCCATATGCTCTCCAAAATTTCATCGCCAGGCCTTGGCAGCAGCTTAGCCATCAGTAAACCACTTGGTTTACCAGAAATCAACAAAATATGTTTTGTTTAAACTTCTCTTTGCCCCACTGTTTCAAACCTCCGCACGATGCGGTCGGACTTTATCGCTGTTGCCGCAACTACCCAGTACGGTGCAGTTGCTAAATGCGGTTGCATAGTGTTGTCGTCGGTCTCCTGATTCTTTGTGGAAAAAACTGAAGGTTTCCCGATAGTTTCAGGATCATAGTAGAGCGCTGAAGATTGGTGTGATGACCAAAAAAGCTACCAAAAGTCTCCGCCGAATACAGTATGTTCCGCGCCGGCGGACAAAAAAACTTTTTTAGACAAAAAACCGCCCATTGTCTTCTTTCTGATGCAAAAAGAATTTTTTGGATATCTTGCCTAAGCGCCGAGAAATCGGCAAACTCTTTCCGCGGAATTTCTCTGGACACCCTGTAGAATAATTCCTTGTAAGAAATATTCTTCTAGCTCGCGCTTCGGAGAAGACACCGAGATTTTTAAATTGAAAGTTGGCTTCTCGCACTTTTTTTGCTCATTTTTATATGAAAAGTTTTTTTGCCTAATGTTTCCACAAAAAAAATCAATTTTTTCTGAACGAAACTGACGTAGATATGGTCAAAAAGTCTTTTCTGTGACCGCTCTCCGCGTTTTGCGTGCTCTCTCTGCGGCAAAGATCGTTGATCATTCTTGACTTCCCCTGGAAAGCGCAAGATAAAACTTTCAGGAATTGATATATGGCATATGCCTAAAGTGTGTCCAAATTATGAAGAAAGCTTGAGCGTTGCAGTTCAAGTAATTTCTCCGTAAATTGAAGGGGTCATAGTAAACCTACTATTTTTCTGACCATCTCTCCTCTTTTTCCGAAGTCCTTGGTCTCCAAATTTTGTCGGACATATTGGTTTGGAATGCAACGCGGGCGCTAAGTTTTTTTGGACTTTGCTCGTAGCGTAGATGACGTAGGTTTTCAAAATATTAAGGATATTGGTTCCCACTTTGAGAAATTTACATTTCAATTTCGCTATGAAAAAGCTCTCCATTTACCCTTATATTTTTTAAATATTTTATTTAAGTCTAAACTTCTCTGCATTCAATTTTTTTCGATGCTAGAGGTGTAAGCTGTTTGTATCCGTGAAGCGTAATGCCCTTACCTATTACACTTTTCAATTTCACCAAGTCCCTGGGACATTAATCAAATTCGCAGAACTTTTTGGCTCTCCGAAAAAGGTCAAAGAATAATACTAACCTTGAGCGCAAAGATCTGCGGACAATTTGGCTGTTTTTGTTTTGAAAAGTTTGTCGTTGAATTCGAAATTAGGGGGAACTTGCGGCCGTTCAGGAAATACACTTGTCATGGAACGTCCGGCAGACTCGTAAAGCGACTTGAACCGGACGTTTCCTTCTGCTTTATTGGGGCACTGTCAGCGACACGGGGGAAGTGACAATTCCGGGGTCAGCGTTTGAACTTTTTCGCAGCGGGTTTTCAAACGTTTTTTTCGGATTTTCTGTAATGTAAGCTTTCAAGGAGAGGCTTTCAAGCGCTCAGATTTTCTTAGATTTTTGCACACATTTTGGGCATAGGCTATGTGTAAATTTCTGAAAATTTTAGCTCTTGCTTTGCAGGCGTAGCTGAGATATTCAAGATGAAACACTCTTGTCTGTATCTTTGCCATGGAAAAAATTGATTTTTTTTGTAGAAAAATCATTCTCTTGGTACAAAAATTTTCATGTCAAAGTTCACCAAAAAAGTGTCACATTTTTTCAAACCTTTGGCTCCAAAATCTCGATCCTTTCTGCGTAGCGCGAGCTAGGAGTCTCCCATTTGTCTTAAAATAAGTTAATCTAAATTTGTGTCACGTTTTATCACACCCTGAACGTCGCACTTGGACTACTTAAAAGATTATATTGACGTTTCTGAACTACTCGACTTGTGAGTTCAGAAAGGTCGGCATAATTTTTCCCACCTTTAAAAACGATGCCTTTTGGACTGTTTGGCACACATTGAGGCTGGGATTTTTAAAGACAATATTTTGAGATTTTGAACTTGAAAATTAAAGGCTTGTCTAAAAAAAACATTTTTTCTTTAGCGCCTCGCTCTCGTCCACAAAGCTTCTTGAATATTTTGGGTTTCTTCGGAAAACGCGAGCTGCATTTTTTAAATGCAATAAAGTCTCTGTACAGCAAATTACAAGGGGAAAATTGTACGTTATAAAGAGGTTTTGATGTAAGGAGTTTAAAAATGTTTTGGGGGGGGGGGGGGGTAAACGGTTTGTTTTTTGCCTAAAATTGGGTCTTGGGCCCTACAAAGTCGTCCGTTTTAGACAGGCTTCGTTTCATGGGAATTTTTTGTACGGAGATTTCACTGTACTTTCTCATGGCCAACTTGACGCTGACTGCTTGAATCTAAACCCAATTCCTTATACATTTACGACCCTTTCTTACAAAATTTTATGTCTAATGTAAACGGATCGTGGGACTGTGCGTACTTTACCAAATTTCAGCCTCCACATCGACAATTCTCCCGCCAACTCCTCTGAATGTGTCCATGGAAGCCGCCACCACAGATGAGGAAGAGTTCTTTCAGACCCTCAGCGACGAGGATTACATTGAGTTCGTCGCGGACTTTCTTCGCCCCACGCCGATTGAGTACGGATTTGTTGGGGTTTTCTTTTGTTTGATGATTGTTGGAGTCATTGGAAACTGCCTGGTAGTGTATGTAGTGCTGCGGAACAAAAATATGGTGAGATTTTGAAATCTAGAAAAATATTCAAATTTATGCAAATTTTTGAAAAAATTCAAATTTTTGTGTCTTGTTCAAATTTAGCGGTCTTTAGAGGGAACAGAAAGTATTTCGGAGTTTTTTTGCCTTGGATGTAAATTTCGAAAATTATGCAAATTTTTTGAAAATATGCAAATTTTTTAAAGATATTCAAATTTTTAAAATTAATCCAGCTTTTGTTACCTTCAAGCAAAATTAAAAACGATTTTAGGACTTTTCGACATTTAAGCAAATTTTGAAAATCCTTAAAATTTAGAAAATTTATCTAAATTTTCTCAAAATTATTTATTCATTTCTATGAATTATAATGCCTTCGCTTTGGCTTTCAATATGATACTTTTTGCCATTGACTCTCGATGAAATCCGATCACCTCGGGCGATTTTCCCCGTACAAGAATTCACTAGTTTTTCGCGGGGATTACGGTAATCGGAAGTGAGAAAAATAGTCAAAAGTGAGCAAGCTATGCGTTTTAAATTTCAATGTTTTATTCTTTTTTCAGTGGACTTCTATGAACTGGTTTCTTCTCAACTTGGCATTGTCGGATTTACTGGTACTTACAATTTGTCTAACGCCAACCGTCATCAACGATATCACAAAGACTTTTTGGTTCAGCGCCGGCTTCTGCAAGGCGATATTGTTCTTCCAGGTAAGGGTTTATCACAATAGTATGAATAAAAAATTCTAGTGAAACTAGTCCGTTGGCAAAGTCGCTGGAGTGATTTCTGCAACATGCGCTGTGCGAAAACAAAATGTTCATTTTGCACTGCGATTTTTGGCTTTTTGCATCGTGCAATAGGCTTTTTCGGCCTGTCGCTTGTACCCTGAATTTCTCTGCACAGTGCAAACGCAAGAAATAATTCCAGCGACTTTACAAACGGACTAATAAAGGCCATACAATCTGCTATTTTTTTGCCGTTAGGAGGCATTTTTATTGGGACTGGTAAGGCTGGTGATAGTCAAAATTCCAGTCGTTTCTGCAAAACTAGAGCAAGAAAGGCTGCTGTATAAACGCTATGGATCTTTTTACGCTGAGGATTTACATTTTTTTGCGAAATTCCACTTGTAACTCGCTGAGAGCAACGAAATAACGCTTGAAAATTTACTGGGCCCTGAAAAAGCGCTAAATTTTTTTCTCTTGTCTTGCGTCACTCGCAAGTTGAGTTTAACTCGTAAAACAATCTGTGGACATACGACTCCATTGCTTTTGTCATCTGCACTTTATTAGTATTTTCATAAAGTGCATGGACATTTTTCGCTTTCGCACAGTGCATTTTCAGCTTTTTCCCACGTTTGTCGCCAATTCACAGTGCGTTTTTTTCGCACCGTGCAAACCTCAAAAAAGCCGTTGGCACTGTGCAAATCCTTGGCGCGTCGCAGCGACGTGATTGAAACTTGCTTATGTCGCGGCGACATTTCGCCGCACAGTGCAAAAATCAAAAAAAGTGAAATGCACGGTGCAATGTCTTTTTTGTTGCACGGTGCGACTGTTTATTGAGGTCCAGCGACATTTCGCCGCACAGTGCAAAAATCAAAAAAAGTGAAATGCACGGTGCAAAATGGGGTTTTTGTGCACGGTGCGAACCGCGACAAATGTCCATGCACTTTATGAAAATTCGAATATTTTCAGAACACAAGTGTGTACGTCTCGGTGCTCACCTTGATGGTGGTGTCGATTGAGCGATGGAGAGCCGTGACCAGCCCGTTGTCAGTGCCCATCTGGAGGACCCACAAAGTCATCATCCTGATTTGGATCATCTCCTCTTGCCTCTCGATGCCCGAACCCATTACTCTCAAGATTTATCCAGCCGAATATGCACGGAAGAATCTGCAAACGACGGTAGGAAATTCGTGAAATTGTATAAGAAAAACAACTTTTAGTGGGGAACTCGATGTAAGGAGTCGTGGAGCGACGAATTCCAGCAGAAATACCAATTGGCTCAGACGCTTTTTCTATTTTTTATTCCGTTAATAATCATTAGTGGACTTTGCATTCATATGTCCATAATTTTACGGAGGAAATCGCTACAAATCGGGGAACGACAGCTGAGGAGTCGACAGAGGGCGACGAGGATCTTGATTACCGTCACGTTACTCTTTGGCATCAGCTATTTGCCCGTGCATCTGCACAATATGATGACGTAAGGATGGGGAGTTTGATTGTTCAGTTCATGGTTGTGGTTGGGTTGGTGGAGGAGAGAGGAAATTCTTGGGATGGTCCTGGGAGTCAAGATTAGACAAAATGGAACCTCCGCATAACCAAAGTTTCACTTTTATGATCAAAAAATTTTTTTTCTTATACTAGGCTTTTTCCTGAGGAGGAAACCATTTTTTATATACAGGGTGGTTCAGCCGAAGCTTCCATCCTTATTTCAAGTATTTCTCCGCCGAAATGCACCAATTTTTATAAAATTTATATCAAATTGAAGCTTAGGTTCCCCATTTTTTGTCCACCAAATATGACAGGCCCAAGTTCAAGGATAGCCCCGTACTGACCTTTGACATTTTCATTCCAAATTTTTGAGCCCGAAATCGGTGAAACCTTGAAAATTTTTGCAATGATTTTCAATTGCGTTTCTCGGACTTGGAAAATTTTTGGATTTCCGGCAAAAAACAATGTCGCCAAATTCGATGAAAATTTTTAAAAAAGTAAGGTTCACAGAAGTAGCAAGTGCCTAAAAAGCATATTTCCATCCGACGAGATTTCGGGCTCTAAAATTTGGAATGAAAATGTCAAAGGCCAGTATGCGAGTATCCTTGAACTTGGGCCTGTCATATTTGGTGGACAAAAAATGGGGAACCTAAGCTTCAATTTGATATAAATTTTATAAAAATTGGTGCATTTCGGCGGAGAAATACTTGAAATAAGGATGGAAGCTTCGGCTGAACCACCCTGTACCTCATAAACACGTCAAAAGTTATAGCCAAAGTTTCACTTTTACGATCAAAGCAATTTTTTCCTTTTATGCTTTTTCCTGAAGCGGAAATAATAATTTTTTATGTGCCTCATAAACTCATCAAAGCCATGATTGCGCTAGCAAATTGTGAACTAACGAATTCAAGGCGTGACACAAGGGCTAGGCTACTTTTTCGCACTAAAAATTGCTTACAAGATCGAGCCGGCTCGAAGTAAATTTGAAAGCAAATTGAGTTTACTAGCAAAAAGATATATTGCAATAGCATTAAAATTGAATAACTGATTTTTTTCGTGATTGTGGTCAAGCACCAAATGATAGTCAAAGTAAAGACAGGTTGAAATATCAGCAGTTTTTTTGGCTTTTAAAAAATTTCTTGAAGCTTTTAGCTGGTTAACCAATTTTTGTTTTATTATAATACACTAGCGGTCCTAAAAAAAGGTTTCCTGGGACCACGGAAAACTCGAAACTGACCGGGCCGCGATTTTTGGCCCTGCCCGGGAGCCATGTCTAGTCCGTCCGTGAAGTCGCAGCGGTGATTTCGGCGACATACACTGTGGAAAACACAAGTTCACATGGCACTCTGCAATTTGACGCGAGTCAATTTTTGACTACTGCTCACACCCTGTCGTTTTTGCATAGTGCAAACGCCAAAAATCATTCCAGCGACTTTACGGAGGCTTGTAAACAAAATTAAAATGCCAAGACAGCATTTCCACAGATTTCAATATCAAAATCATCGCTTTATTTTTCAGGTCCTTTCACATCGAGCCCCAACAGGATCCCAGTCTAACCGCCATCGCGGTCCGGAAATTCATCCCCCGGCTTTTTAGCTACTCCTCTAGCAGTTTCAATCCTATTTTGTACAATTTCATATGTGGTAAGTTTTGATTGACATACATGCAAAACTTTTACATCACATTTTTCTGTAACGTAAAGTCATGATTTTCAGAGAAATTCCGCAAAGAATTCCGTCGTGCTTGTTGTTTCTTTTCGGGCAAAACCAAGAAACAGCCCAAAACGTCGCTACTCCGGCCGCATTCCACTCGCTACAGTTCGGTGACGGTCAGTGGGACCAATGTGTAATTTAAATTATTTTATTTTAATTGTTGTTTTGACAATTTTTTTGAAGAGTCATGTATATTACAATTGTTTCAAATCTTGCAAATAAACCGTCTATAAAACCCATAGACATCGCAAATAATATAAATCATGGTCATCGAACATGGTACTACAAAATAATTAAGTTTTAGTAGACAAATCTTATCCTTTGGCGTATTTCTTCAGCATCTTGTCGGGCTTGCTGAACTTCCTTCCTTTATTGGCCTTCTTGGCGATTTTGAACCATTTTTCAGCAAATTCTTTTTTGCTATTTCTTTTTTCTCGAAGCGCAGATTCAGAAGGGCTTACGGAAAGGGCTGAAAGATTGCTGAAAGCCAACGAAACAAGTCCTACCCAGGATTGCGACGACAAAAATTATATGAAGCAGACGCATTTTGAAGATGGAGGAAGATCAAATGGTCTCCTTCTATGGGTCTGGGTGAATTTATTGGTATGATTTAGAGCTATTCACATTTAAATCGTTTGGGGATGACTACTGTTTTGTGCAGTCGTAAAACAGTTAAAAGAAAGTTGGCTATGCGACGAGATCAAGAGTCAAAGAAATGCTGAGAATTAAAAGGAGTCAGAAAACGAGAAATGGGCGTCGTGACACTTGCGGGCAACAAACATCTTCCGTTTAGAATTACTATTTTCCTCCTGTAATCTACGTAGTATGATAGAGAGTTTGTATTGAAACGATGGGCTCTACCGAAGCATTAATTATTTACAGGCCTCGAATCATCTACGACAATTCATAGAAGTTAAGTTGGATGTTGATTTTAATCACCAAAATCTTTTGTTTCTAAACGGCCAATCGTGCGTGGATTCCTGGTCGAAGCAAATTTGAAATGAACCGGGAGACAACCGGCACTGGACCGGAATAGTCATAATTTTGAGTCTCAAAACGATGTTGGTGATAGTGCCAAATTTGCATAATGGATTTGTCTATAAAAGCCACAAGAATACACTTTTGTCTCATTCTTTTCTCGTGTCCTCTCTGTTTGAACGGTCTATATAGTCTACCGACTCCCCAACCTCCTCCTTCCGTGCTCATCTTGTACAACGAAAATTAGGGTTGCCAATAAAAATAAAGCGCAATGCCAAGAATGAAATCGTATGGTACGATTGGTGTTTTTGGAACATTACCGTTGCTTTCCAAGGCCTATTCATTGACTACAACGCAAATGAGGAATCGTCGAATTGATCTTAGCGCTATCTCATCAAAACAAAATTATTTTTTCAGCCCGTGGATGCATCGTTAGCTTTATGAAACATCTCAAAATTCATTATTTTCGATATATCTGTTACTTACGATTCTGACGAATATCCTGACGCAGACATGACTATATATCTGTGTATTATAAAAGAACTTTTAAGAATTAATTTCGCATATACGCAATGATTGTATTCCTATTTTTATTTGCCTTTCTTGGGCTGGCAATCGGAGCTCCGGAGAGCGATGAAAAGTTTTGGACGTTGGACGAAGCCTTAGTAGACGTGTAAGACAATGGTGTGACAATTTTGTTAAAAATTTCAGCGCCCCAGAGCACTTCGAGGGTGTCAAACAGTACTTCCAATGCATCAAGGACAATATTACGATAGACGAGAAATATCTCGGAAACGCCATCCGTAGTAACCTGGAATATGACAAGGGAATCTTCGCTTTTATGTTAGGTCTCTACGACAGAGACACTTCATGCTTTCGTGAATCCGATGACAAATATATTAGGGCTTGGGGGAATGTGATGGATGCAATGGCCCGAGCGAGACACGAGCTCAGAGTTCTAAACTTAGAATATCCGTACCTGAAAGGATTCGACATCAGCACATATGTCGATCTGCTGAACCGGACCAGGTGAGCCAGTCTTTCCCTACTTTACACATCTCTATGTAATGTTTCAGCCGTATCAACCAATTTGATCCGTGGTTCATGTTGTGCTCCGTGTATGGCCAACGCCCCATGCGACCATTCGCCCTCTTCCACAGACTCGCGGTTGCTTTGGGAATCATCACGGAAGAGTTGGTCCCAGGATCGTAAGACGTTTCCTTCCCATACAGATAAAGTTAAGGAAGAGAGTAAAAAAAAGTTGATTTTCAGCGGTATACGGGCTTCCCATAGGGAATTGCCGCAAAAGCTCCAAGAATACTTGAACCCGGGCCTGTTTGACGGAAGCTACATATTCGCCGACCAGGTCATTGTTGGGTGCATTGACGACAGTGATTCGTGGGCTTCAATGAAAATCACAACAATGAAATACTTATCACAATTATAACAGTCTTGTCTTATTCTCCGCCTTGATTTAAATAAACTAAAATCTCCTGGCTCGAGTTCTTTTTGGGCCTGACTGGGACGTTCCAAATTAGCCGCTCCAGTCCGGCTTGGCCTGGCGTGTAGGAGGCTGGACTGCGTGTCCAAGGACTCTCATTCCGGTAGTCATCTTAGGCATTAGATCAACTTGAACAAGTTGAAACTTGAGTACTCAAATCGACTTTTTTCGTTAGAGAATATAAGGGAAATCTTTAGCTGGGGCTCAGCTAAAGCACTGCTGACTTGAACCAAGATCTGGATGATCATTCCGATGCTTAACGGAGACGTGGTGATGACCTCGCAGAGACAAGCACTTCTTGGAAACGCCAGCAGTACAGCTAAAACATGACTTATCCACCGATTACAGACATCAGCATTGCTCAGTGTTACACTTTTTCACTTCCCAACGATTGAGAGTTTAATGTTTTTACTTGCAATTTGATTACATCTTTTTTCAGAACAGTTACTTCCTTTTTCCTTGAATCGAAAATATTGACTCGAAGAAGATTCATTTCCTTTCAGCTCATTGGTGCAAAATACCTATTCGCTAATCACGGAATCAGCGCGATTACTCATCCGTTTTCCATTCAGTTGTCTGCACATATAAATACTTGTCAAATAACTGTTTGATCTACTCGTATTTCAAATTTTTTAAAAGGTCTATTTATTCGACTCAATTTGCCTTTTTATTGTTTCAGTTTTGCTATGAAAGCAGTGGAAGCACCCTTAATTTTTCCTGCACAACACGCCGCTGCGGCTCTAGGCCCGCCACCTCCATACAGGGAAAGGAGAAACCCAAGATTTCTATATTTATACAATAGAAAATTTCTACTACTAATTTCGTTGTTACTATTCCTTATCGCAACTTTACTGGCCATCGGTTTAAGTCTTTTCTTTTACCCTAATCTTTATGGAATGAAAAGCGAAGCGTTCCTGCCCAAAGGTTTGTTCGCTCGGCCCCTCAGGCAATACAATGAGACCAATTGGTTTTCGCATGTTTATCAAGATGTACATTGGGAACCATCACAGGGAAAAGTGGACGAATTAAGACCGGTGCTGCCAAAAGGACATGAGAAGGTTGAGCTGCCCGGCAGAGTGGTGATACCCTGTAACGAGAATTGCACGACTGGCGGCGATGTTGTGGAATGTTGTAGAACACATCAGTGGAATGATGGGGTCTGTATTGAAGAACAACAACGGGATGGGCGGATAGAACGACAAGCCGTTTGTTGGCAGGGCGAGTAAGTGGACAGAGGAAGGCAAAAGTCGGGGCTAGCTAAAGGGTTGAGACGCCTGATTTTGTTAAATTTCACTACTATTTCTGGTGACAAATCAATCCGCGAGAATTTTTTGCTCGCGCTTTTCATACGCGGCGGAGATTTTCAATGACTTTTCTAGACTACACTTTATATACATATATAAAACGATAAGAGACTATCAGCGAAAACCAGGATAAAAGAAATATATATTTCAGGGGACTCCGCATTTATTCCCGCGATAATACACGTCCACAACATCCAGCAACAACTAACGCCTCAGCTGAAGCTGTAAATGCCGAGAACGCAGGAATGCCTGCCGCAACTGAAGCCGCAATTGTGGAGTATATCCGTGAAGTGGCTTTTCAAGGTGTCCTAAGACCGGTGTAAGTCTTCAAAGAATCTTCTGTCCTTATAAGGGATGAGTTCCATGTCTGCGGCTCACATTTTCGTTAAATTTTGCATACATTCATGGAAATAGCTTGGGAGCACGAGTGTACATACTTCCGCTGCAGCCGGGCAAAAACTTTCCAGTGGCGATTAGCCGCCGCAAAGCGATGATGGAGGATTTCAATGCGCAATGAATCCACATTATTTCCCAGACAGACTGATATTTGACACCGCAACAAAATTTTAGACGATGGGAACATAGCGCGGCCGTTACGCAATTAATTCAATGTGTAGCCGCCGAGCAGCGTCGTCCGGAAGAACAAGTAATAAAGGATATCCTGCAATATAGCACGTCTAACGCAACGGCCAGCCCATTCATTCCCGTCTTAAATCCCGAATGCGCGACTCTGACCGACGATGAATATGTTCGCGCATTGGGGAAATTGATCAGGACTTATGGGAATAATGCTGAAAAAGTCATAAAGGCCTTTCCGCAGTTCAAGTTTATTGACCACATTGCGGATATGATTGCAGAACGTTAGTAAGGAGATCTATTTTTGAAGAGCTATTTATTAGATAAAAGCTATATATTAAATATATTGTGTTTACTTGCAGCTTAAACTATACAAACGGCCGTTATGGAACGGAAATTCCTTGCGATCTGTTTGAAATGATGGGAAAAGAAAATAGCGACGCCATGAACTATTATGTCGCATTTTTCTTAATCGGTGAGGAAGTTGTACCGGGAAGGTAGGTGGAGCGTCATTTCCAAAAAAGGCTGCCAATTTCAGTGTTTTCAAATATATCGACCCCCGAAAATACGTCAACCCAAAACTGTTTGAAGAGTCGGAAGAGGAAATTGAACTGAAAGATCTCATTGTCAGATGCGAAGATAAAAAAGAAAGCGTGTACGAAGTGTTGAGGCCCGTGTAAGTATGCTTCTAATTTTTTCAAAAATGTGTCACAGGAGTAAAAAGCATCGTGCTGCGGTCAAGGAATGGATCCAATGTGTAGCAGCCATGGAGAATCGTGCGGAAGAACAAGTAATTGAGGAGATCCTGGAATACAGGCGGTCAAACGCAACGGCATTTCTTTCCGTCTTAAATTCCGAATGCGCGATTCAAGCTGATGATGAATATGTTCGCGCATTGGGGAAATGGACGAGCATTTACAGAAGTACTTACGAAAAAATTAAGAAAGTCTTTCAAACCACGTTCGTAGACATCATTGCGGATAAGATCGCAGAGCATTAGTAAGGAGATTTGATTTGCAAGAGCCGTTTGGATGAAAGGTATTGCTATATTGTGTTTATTTGTAGCCTAAACTACACAAATGGCCTTTATGGAACGGAAATTCCTTGCGATCTGTTTGAAATGATGGGAAAAGAGAATAGCGACGTCATAAAATATTTTGTCACCTTGATCTTACTCGGCGAGGAACTTATACCGGGAAGGTAGGTATTACCATTTGCGTAAAGTGCATGGCCATTTCTCGTGCCCCCGCAACGTGCGTGCAGAAAAGACTCTTCGTGTAGCGTGCAAAATCGAAAAATGTCCATGCACTTTGTGCAAAAGCTAACAGAGTGAATGTAATATATATTTACACATAAAAAAGACAGCCAATTTCAGTGCTTTCCAATCCATCGACCCCCGAAAATACGTCAACCCCAAACTGTTTGAAGAGTCGGAAGAGAAAATTGAAATGAAAGATCTCATTGTCAAATGCGAAGATAAAAACGAAAGCGTGTTCTACGAAGTGTTGAGCCCCGTGTAAGTCTGTTTCTGTATTTTGCAAAAAGTGTCATAGGAGTGAAAAGCATCGTGCTGCGGTCAAGGAATGGATCCAATGCGTTGGAAGGAGGAACAACAGGACCGATGAAGAGACTGTCGCCAGAATCTTGGCGAATAAACAAGCCAACTGGACTGTTGGACCGTTTTTCGATGAATTCATCGCTGAAGATGAAGAATGCGCTCTCCAGTCTGACGATAAATATGTTATCGCCTTGGGAAAGTTGGCCACGATATACAATAGAAACGTCGATGTAGTTAAACATGGATTTTCTGTTATCAATAGAACAAATCTCGATCAATCTTCAACCATAGAGGGCAACGAATTGTAAGTCTTTGCAAAAATATTATTGTTTTCTTCAGATACTTTCCCATGGAGCTCAATGTCAGCTGCAAAAATTGGGATGAAAGCCGCGAAGAGGACATCAAAAACTTCATGAGGTTGAGTTTTGCCTACGACGTTGTTGGCAAAGAACTACTTCCAGACGGGTAAGGGTAACGAGAAAAAGTTCAACTGTTTTCAGGGTTTTCCAACCCGCGGATTATCAGGGGAATCTGAACCAGGGTTTATTCGAGAAAAACTCAGACATCAAGATCAGTCAGGTTTACGAACCGTGCCTAGAAACATGACGAAAAAAATACTTTGAAGCGGCCAAAGCAGAAAGAAAGCCTTGAGGCATGGATGTTTATAAATAGTTGGTGGTTAAAGTAAATGTTTGTAAAACTGAATGATTCTGTAGTTAAATTAAGGGAAAGTTATCATTGGTGTTAATTTCATTTAAATCATCGTGTGAAGCCCAAACTTCTCAAAATGCGATAATTTATTTTTACCACTTTCTGCAACGAAAATACCATCTGAACAGATGTCGTCGACGTCGACCAGGCAAATATCACATAGCACATGGTCACAACCAAGGGCCAGCGGAGTCCTCATTTCCATCGACATTAATTGCTCACACCGACCACATCTAAAAGCGGATTAGACTGCACGGAGCATTCTGAAAGTAAAATAAATTATCAAAGAAGCGATTCAGACCCGATAAACATATTATTATCGACAAAATTACGACAAAACCGCGTCCAAATGACCTAAAACAAGGTAATTTTGTCGTCAAAATGAACAAAATGTCGAGAAAAAATCGAAAAGCCTACAACATCAAAAATTTCGCAAAAGCCGCGTGGCAATTCTGCAGAAAACCCACTGTTTTCGTTGCAAGCGAAAACGCGCAAAAACTCCCTTTTCTGTCGAAAACAAAGCCTTTTTTACGCAGAAAAACAAGATGCCAGACAAAAAATTGGCATCTAAAGTTTTCGTGTCGGACAAACCGGAACCGGGCCCGTTTTCAAAATCTCCAAGGCCCGGCCCGGTTGCCATGTCTGGTCGATTCACCTGCGAGAATAAATAATTATGTACATGATATGTGTGAATCATTTCTGGAAGGACCTAAATGGTTTTTTAATCTCTACAAAAGACTACAGGAAATCAAAATACCGTCGACTCATCGCATGTTTTGATGTATTCTTCTTCTTCCTGCAGCCTTGATCCAAAATCGTTATGATTAGGTGGGTGACACAACCAAATCACAACGATTCTGACGCAACTCTGACTGTTTTATGTGCTATATAAGCGATGCAAAGAACCTATGAATTCACAGCAAAATGAAAGTGTTTTTGTTGACCTTGGCCGTGTTCGGTATTGCCTATGGGTATCCGGCTCCGAGTAGTGATGAGTCGAGCGAGTCAACGGAAACGTCGAGATTGGACAACGTCTTGGACAAATTGTAAGCTTTTTTCTCAAACGAAGTCGAGACTTGGGGTGCTTACCTTTAATGCGGAGAAAATTTTATGCCGCGATTTTTGGCAAGATACTCCAGAGCCTTAGAAGAGAAATTTAGAAAGATGGGATCGCAAAATGAGGGTCTCCAATTTCAAAGCGGAATATAACAGTAGCTTCTGCTGAATTCATATACAGAATTTTTTGTACGGCCAGGGCTAACTAAGGGCGGGGTGGTGGAACGGATCGGTTACCTTGTCATCGCAGTGACTTCCGCGGTACGCCTGTATGTGAAATTTGACCCTGGACTTGCGCCAAGTTTCGGATATATAAGGGCTGTACCTCGACTATCTCTCCTGTAAATATTATTACTCCTTTTTAGATACCCCAATCATCGCGATGGAGTCAAGAAACTCTTCCGTTGCATGATTGCCGCTGAGAACAGAACAGAATCGGACGACGACATTGCCGATGAGTTGCTTTCCTCTGTAAAACATCACGGGCTTATCGAATTTTACAAGGAAATGGAGCCCCACAATAGGCACTGTTTCCGCGAAACCGGCGACAAATTGATTACAGCTTTGGCCAATGTTGACGAAGCATATCAAAAGGACAAAAAAGAAATCAAAGCAGAGATCCTTGCGCACTACAGCTTTCTGGAGAACATCCCTCCTAAAGAATATCTCAATCTTTTGAACGAATTGCAGTAAGGCATTTTAAGACAACATTTTTGACGCGTATAGTTGAAAACCACCCAAAATTTTGCGGATTTCAGGCCCAAAGATGATCCACACCCTTGGTATTTGAGATGCTCGAAGTCAGATCCAAATAAGCCGATCAACAAGTACCACAAGATCTTCATCGCCTTGATTATTCTCTCTGAGGAATTCGCACCCGAATCGTAAGTAAATACTATTAGTACCGGGCTGCCGTGAAAATTGTTAGCGCTCTGTCGCTCCGCCAATTGCGTCGCTGAAGTGAAAATTATTTTCTCGGCGGCGATGCGATCTCCGATGCGTACTATTTTCCCGACAGACTGATACTAGTAAATTTCAATATGAATATCTGATTTCTTATCAAAATCAAAAAAAGATTCTAGTGGTCTCCCAGTCGAAGACCCCACTCATTATTTGAACCCCAAACTATTCACAACTGGAAACGTCCCCGCCCAGGAATTGATTGTCAATTGCATTCCCGAATCGGAGATATCTGAAACTACACCGACAACAGAGACGCCATTTCCAGAGACGGCAACCGAAAGCACTTTTGATGAAGTCTTGGAACCTGTGTAAGTTATCTCAAAAGTTCTTTCATAGTGACCTACATATTACATTTATATATGTAAATATTTACATATTTTTTTGTGATAAATTCCGATCAACCTGCTCTTTTTTTAGAGGAGAAGCCCACCGTGCGGCTATCAGAGAATGGATCCAGTGCGTTGGAAGACAAGGCAAGAGAACCGTCGAGGAGATTGTCGCTTCCATTTTGGCGTACCACCCATCCAATTGGACTGTTCGTCCGTTTACCGAGGAACTCCTCCCTTTTCACGCGGAATGCGCTTTCCAATCCGAGGACGAATTCATTGTGGCTCTAGGAAAGTTGGTCAGAATTCGAAACAAGAACTATAAAACAGTTGATAAGATACTTGGTATTTTGCATCTCAAGAATTTCGACCAGTTTGCAACCGGCTTGGCAAAATATTCGTAAGACATTTTAAGCAAAAATCAGACCGTTTAGGCGCATTCTCCAAAGGGATTCCGTTTCTTGCCACTGGGAGGAGAAATGGGGCAAAGAGGTCGCCGGTCTCTTCAAGCTGACTCTTGCCTACGGTCTTGTGGGCGAGCAGCTCATTCCGGGCAGGTAGGCGTGACAAGAAAGGTTAAAATTCTTGCAGCGGCCTCCAATGGGAGAATTACCGTGACTACCTGAACCCTGAATTGTTTGATAAAAACAACTTTGACATCAAGATCAATGACGTTTTCAAGTGCCTAGATGGGCCAGAAACCACAACTTCGGCGTCTGAATTTCTGTTTTAAAAAAAGAGATTGTATAATTGGTTCGAAATAAATTGTACAGGGTGGGGCATCTTTGTGGCCCGATTTGAATTGGCTATAACTTCTTTAGTTTTTGGCCAAATTTTAAAATTCTTTTTTTCCCTGAATCGTCAGCCAACCCCATTTTGTTTGATACCAAATATGTTATACATAGTAAGTGTATATCTACAGTTATTGGATTTATTCTTGGAGTTCATTTTTTTCGGTCGTTTTTCGGTTGTTTTTTCGGTCTTTCCCGGTGTGTCCAGAAATGGAGTACGGTGCGGAAGAAAAATACGGCGGAATTTCCCCTCCCGAAAATCGACGATGAGAATAAGAACAAAAAGTGAAGATCAACCTCCAGAGTTCGTCGAATGGTCCTTGCTGAAGGCATTCCCTCGGTTCTGGCCAAACTTCGTGTACTCATATGCGGATTTTCTCGGAATTTTGACAAAACTTCTTAAATTTTCAGCTCCGTTCGTACTCATCTTTCCTGCTTTTTTTGTTTCCTTTTAACGCTGCCAGTCTCAAGAAACTTATTCCACGAACGTCGAATTGTCGTTAGGCATTACGTCCGTATTTTATGCGGTATCCCCGTTTGAAAATTTATCGCCGAACCGTACTTGCTATACCAAACCACAGACCAAGCCTTTTCTTCCACACCGGACTCCATTTTCGGACACACCGGGAAAGACCGAAAAAACAACCGAAAAACGACCGAAAAAATGAACTCTAAGAATAAATCCAATAACTGTAGATATACACTTACTATGTATAACATATTTGGTATCAAACAAAATGGGGTTGGCTGACGATTCAGGGAAAAAAAGAATTTTAAAATTTGGCCAAAAACTAAAGAAGTTATAGTCAATTCAAATCGAGCCACAAAGATGCCCCACCCTGTATTCTAATAACTACATATAGCTCGCAAACCATTTGCCGAATATCACATAAATGGATTTTTTACATGCTTGTTCCCTGTAAAAAGCTATCCTTACGGATGAAGTAAAATTTTGGCTAGGGCTCAGCGAAAGCACGCTGAAGTCCTGTGCAAGATCTGGATGGTCGTTCAGAAGCTTGGCGGAGGCGCGGCGAAGGCTTCGCAATCAAAGAAAACAGCTTGTTTATTGGCTCATAAAGCATTTTCAGCCAGAAACAACCATTCTAGCGGCGTGCCATAAAAGAACCACAATTGGATCAAAGAATAGACATGATATATGGCAACCGTTTTTGCAAGGACCTCAATGGTTTTGCAATCTCTATGAAATAAGCCATTAGTAATCGAAATACCATCCACTCATCGCATGTTTTGATGTATTCTTCTTCTTCCTGCAGCCTTGATCCAAAATCATTATTATTAGGTGGGTGACACAACCAAATCACAACGATTCTGACGCAACTCTGACTGTTTTATGTGCTATATAAGCGATGCAAAAAACCTATTAATTCACAGCAAAATGAGAGTGTTTTTGTTGACCTTGGCCGTGTTCGGTATTGCCTATGGGTATCCGGCTCCGAGTAGTGATGAGTCGAGCGAGTCAACGGAAACGTCGAGATTGGACAACGTCTTGGACAAATTGTAAGCTGAACTCGGGGTTTGGGCTGTTTATCTTTAGCAAATTGTAAGGCTGTCTCGATTAACAGTCTGTGAAAATTTTATGCCGCGTATTTCCATCAATTGGCAGGATACGCAAAAGTCATTTTTGAAGAAAAAGAGGAAAGGTGGGCTGACAAAATGAGGGTCTGCAATTTTAAAGTAAAATATACTGGTTGCTTCTGCAAGAGCTATACTTCGACTTTCGCTCTTGTAAATATTGCTACTCCTTTTTAGATACCCCAATCATCGCGATGGAGTCAAGAAGCTCTTCCATTGCATGATTGCCGCTGCGAACGTAACAGAATCGGACGATGACATTGCCGATGAGCTGCTTTCCTCTGCAAAAAAACATAGCGGGCTCATCGCATTTTTCAAGGAAATGGAGCCGCACAATAGTCACTGTTTCCACGAAACCGGCGACAAATTGATTACAGCTGCGGCCAATGTTGCGGAAGCATATCGAAAAGACGAAAAAGAAATCAAAGCAGAGATCCTTCGGCACTACAGCTTTCTGGAGAACATCGCTCCTGGAGACTATCTCAATCTTTTGAATGAATTGCAGTAAGGCGTTTAAAGACAACATTTTTATAGCTGTGATCAAAAAACAGTCCAAATTTTAGGGATTTAAGACCCAAAGATGACCCCCACCCTTGGTACTTGAGATGCTCGAAGTCAGATCCAAATAAGCCAATCAACAAGCTCCACAAGATCTTTCTCGCCTTTTTCCTTCTCTCTGAGGAGTTCGTACCCGGATCGTAAGTGGATCAATTTCAATATGAATATCTGATTTCACTAAAAAAATTCCAGTGGTGTCCCAGTCAAAAACCCCACTCACTATTTGAACCCAAAACTATTCACAACTGGAAACGTCCCCGCCCAGAAGTTGATTGTCAATTGCATCCCGGAATCGGAGATCTGAAAGTTCACGGAACGACTGAGCTCCGACGATTTTCCCACGAGAAACCTTCTTCAATTATTCAAATTTGGTTGTACTTTTCTACATGGGGTTTTCTTATAAAGGGCCTCCTTTCCACTAAATGAATCATTTGATTCTTGAGCTCTCGTCTTGTCTGTTATTGGGTTCTTGGCGTTTCGAAAACTCATCAGTGGCGACCAGTGACTCAGCGCGTGGACCGGACCTCCGGCCGCGACGGCCGTCGATCTCCCAGCTGGTCGATCCTGGCACTCATGGTGGCGGTCAGAGATTGCCACGGCTGCGGAGCTGGCTCTTGGCTCCGGCTCTGAGCGGCTCCGGCTCATTCGTATGCAACAAGGCTCCGAGCCTTGTTGCATACGACTTGGCTGCAAAAACGTTGGGTGTATGATCACTGGCCCTAATAACTATATAATTTTTGAAAAAATATCTTTAAAAAATTTTTGTGCATGGGAGCTGGGATTCGGAGCCGGAGACGTTGTTAATTTTGCACAGGAGCTGCAAAGTTGGCCTCGGCTCCGGCTCTGGGAGCTCAGAGCCGGAGCCGAATTTTCAACCGTGGCAATCTCTGGTGGCGGTGTAGCGCCAAGAGAGTAACTAGAAGGTGCTGAAGCTCCGGGCATCGGGTGCATGGCACAATACTGGATTTGGTCATGTTTATGACACACCAGTTTGCCGGGAAAATAATGGGCGCATGTCGCGTTAGACTGTTAGATTGACTTCATTAAGGCGTATTGGACCCCCGCCCATCCCCGTTACAAACCCCATTACTTTTTATTTTACCACGTTTCCTGTGGATTTTCGCGAAATGAGCGGTATAAATCCAACAAAATAAGCTGAATATCCAGCTGAAATGACGGTGTTTTTATGGCTTCTGGTTGGATTTGGGGCTGCCACAACATTGTCCGACCTGTTCCAGGACAACAAGATTTACGGGAGGCTAATGAAACCAATGTAAGCATTTTAGTCGACATTTTACTTGAGATTTACTATGCAAGCCATATAGTAGAACTCTTTTCAGTTCGCCAGATCACCGTGAAGGGATCAAGGAAGTGATCAAATGTGTTGCTCAAGAGTTCAATTTGACCGAAGAAGCTGTAGTTGATGTTATTCAAGAGAACTCCGAGACCCACAAAGGAGCCTTTGCTTATGTGGAAAGCCTAGATGATGACGAGGTTCTGGACTGTTTTCAAAACTCCACCGACCTGTATGTTGTTGCTGCCGGGAATCTGATCAAAATTTGGAAAGAGCGAGAAAAAGATTTCACCAAAGTAACGGACCGAGTCATCGTTGATGGTCAAAAACAGACCTTGGAGGACATCTTGGACAGGCTGAGTACTGCGCCAAAAGAGTGAGCCGAAAGCAGAATTCGAAACGTTTGAAAAATTGCAGCAGCTCGCTTTACTATGCCTGCGATGACATTGAAAAGAGGGACCCGGAGGGCGAGGCGTTCGCGCAGTTCTACGTCGTCTTCTCGTACGTTGCGGAAGAGCTCTTCCCCGGAACGTAAGTTGCCAATTGCGAGAAGGCGTGAACATCATTTTGTCGGAAAAATAATGTGGATTTATCACAGCAAAGTGTCTTGATTCGTCGCAGAAGCGTGCCGAATCTCCAGCCCCGGCTAGCAAAGCGATGAGGATGAATCCACATTATTTTCCCGACAGACTGATATATTTATTTTTTAGCGCCTACAAGCCAACCAGACTAATTGATCGAGTCAACGAAAAGTTGTTCACAGCGGAAGGAGTGGAGCCGGAGAAGTTGATCACCAGCTGCGATCGGGAGAAACCACCAAATCAAATCATCGACTTCTTTTAGAAGCTGCCGTCTAGTGAAAAACGTATTGCAAATCGTAATAAACTTAAAATTGCCTTTTTCCTATGCCACCCTCTAAATATCACGTAAAATATAGCTATACATAATATATTTACGATTTTTTCTTTTCGCCTCAGCAAACGCAAATTTATATCTGTTAAATTTCACCACAACAATTTATCCATATTGCGGGATGTTCTGCATGCTGCCGCCTTGGAATTGCTGTTGCATTGGCGGCTGTATGGGCATTGGCGCTTGCATCTGGCTCGGGTCATATCCGCCATATTGCTGATTGGCTCTGCGAGGATCGAGCCAGTTTACAAAACGGTCTCTCCATATTCTGAACTTGTCTATCATCTTGTCCATAAAACCGCCGGGCTGATAGCCTTGAGCGCTGACGGAGAGGGCTAAAAATTCCTCAACCATGTACCGTTCTTACCGCATAGTCCCACCAGCACGAGGATCAACAAAGTTCCAGACTTCATCTTCCCCCAAATACCTTTGATTTCGTCGCACAAAGTTTTTATATTTGAGCTTACCATTTGAATAATCGAATATAACAAGCTAATTGTAAGTGGAGTTATATCAAATTATAGCGTCATAATTCATAATTGACAAAGAGTTGTAATCAATTTAATATTGCACTTTATGAGACAGGTTCGAGGAGATAATTGCTAAATCAAAAGGTTTTTTGCGAGAAGATGATAAGTAAATAATATAACGTAACTTTTAATAATGAAGATCATCCGAGAGCTATCATCAAACCAATGGAAACATGCTGTAAAAGGGACAAAATTTGGGGACAACCAACTGCTGGCGCGGCTTTTGTGGGCAGTTGCAAAAGGAACAATTGGATCCGAAGCGGGCACTTTTGGGGAACCTAGATTTTTCGAAGAGGGCAGCTGGGCGAAGAAGGCACCTTGAGGGAAAATAGTATGGTAGAGGGAGACCAAGGCGGATTGTGATCAGTTTTAATCATGGACAAAACCAAATTTTAGCCGTACCTTTTGCCGGGTTCGTGCGGAAAAGTTGATCTTTTGTGGAAACACAAGCTACGGTGGAAATAGCCATCAATCTTTTTGTGTAAAAATTGGCAAAAACAGTGACACATCTTTGCCAACTTTTAACATAAAAGTCTCAGTCGTTACTGCAAAGCGCGAGCTAGATATCTCATCTCCTTTACGCGTTAGAAAAGATTACTCTAAATTTGCAACAAGTTTCATCAAAATCTAAGCGTCACACTTTGAGTACTTCACTTATACAGTGGCGGACCTGATTCAGTGGCAAAAACGTACCATTTTCTAACTGGGAAGTATCAAAAAATGTGGAAAAATGCCTCACTCCCCAAGTGAAAAAACTCCAATTTCAAGAGCGCACCCTTCGTTTTGTGAGGGCCCTTCAAAACGGAGTTCTTTAGTTGGAGAAGGAGGCATTTTGTTACATTTATTCATACTTCCGGGATGCAAAATGGTACGTTTCTTGCCACTGGATCAGGTCCCTCATTGTAAGTGCTCGAAGGTCATATCAAACCTCTTTTCTTTATCGTTCACGCATAATAGTAACAGGTTTTTTCTTACGGCATTTTATTAAAGTTCATACTTCATATTTAACACTTGTGGATTTGGTCTCAGCGTTGTTGCATTTGGATATGGATGGAAATTGGAGGTCACGGCTATTGCTGTTGTTGCTTAAAAGCCTTGTTTCCGGGATCGATGAATCTGACAACGCCGTTTCTGAGATTGCGGAAGAATTCAACCAGGTTGGTTCCGAAGCTAGGGCCGTCGTCTTGCGCGTGCACAGCGGCGGCTAAAACCGAACTGTATTTGTCACCAAAAATGTGTAGAGTATTACAACTGTACCACTCTGCCGGGAAAATAATGAGCATCGAAAATCGGATCGCTGCCGAAAAAATGAATTGTGTCGCGACAAAATCAAATTACTTTTCACTTCAGCGACGCAATCGGCGCAGCGACATTGCGTTCATTATTTTCCCGACAGACTGTTACTCTTTTTCCTTTAATTTAGTCTCAAAAAAGCATCAAACTTCAGATTTCCTAGTGCTATTACATATTAAGGCTATATACTTACCGCAGAGCAACACAACCACTAGTACCAAGACACTTTGGAACTTCATGTTCCCAAATAATTTTTTGTCGAATGATTTTAGTTTATATACATATTTACATACAGAATTATCAATAGATGAATCAAAAAATAATGTTTTTATAGGCTAATTGCATAAGCCAATTATGACTTTACTTCGGCTTCAATGTATTAGACGTTATTTTAATATTCCGAAAGTCTATTTTACTATACCTCAGGAGATAATAATGTGATATGCAGCGGGCAGCCGACATTTACCGATTAGAAATTACTATTTGGCTAACGTAATCTACGTGGTATCACGGAATTTTTTTACTGACAACCAGAGATTGCTACGGCCAAAATTTCGGCTCAGGCTGTTAGTTCTCAGAGCCGGAACCGAGGCCAAATTTGCAGTTCCGGCACCGGCTCCCGTGCAAAAATGTTTCCAACGTTTTTGAGCCAAGTTGTCGTACTTACGCAGCACATCCTTCCCAGTATTTTTCAAGCAATTGGTTTAACAAGATCACGAAATTTTTACTTTTCTGAACGCTGAGAACCCTGGCTCCGATTTTGGGCTCAAGAGCCGGAGCCAAGAGCCGGCTTCGGAGCCGTGGCAATCTCTGGTGACAACTCTCTAGTGCTGATAAATACAAAAATCTGAAAAGCTTCACTTGAATCCATCCACCGCTTACAAAGTTATGGGAGTTTGTTTTCAAGAAGATGGTTTCTGAACCTTTAAAAACGCCTGGTTAACATTACAGTAACTATTCAAGCCATCTATGCAACTGAAAGCGCAATTCGCAACATCAGCCGCCAAATCTATTGTTAGAATTTCCTGTTGTAAGCAAATTTTGGCTGATATTGATGTTAAATATTTCCAAATCTTTTTGTAATAAAAAAGCGAATGTAAATTTTAGCACGTATTTCACAATGTTTTTATTCCTTTTTTTATATATTTTACAACAACATATTACTTCTTTTGACATCGATTTGGCCGTCCACACGGCACACCTTGCTGCGGCTGCATCTGCTCCAGTGGTATGGGAGGGCCGGCTTCCATTGGTACTTGCTGTTGTTGTTGTTGTTGTTGTTGTTGTTTCAGCCCTCCGAACGCCTTATTTCCCGGGTCAATTATTCTGATTAACTTCCCTCTCACATCCCGAAAGAACTTGACAATATTCCGACCAAAACTTGGTTCCTCATTGTTTTGCTGCGCGTCAGCGGAGAAGGCTGAAAATGGTATTCGATGTAGAATGTAGCCAATAGAAGACGCGACAGCTATTTTTCAGCACCCTGGAGACACGGTCCGTTTAACCGTTGTTGTCTCGACTGAAGCACAGTGTTCAGTTTAGTGCGCAGTAGTTCGGGCATGTCCCAGAAGTCCGCAGGCTTCAGTTGCTTCGCAAAAAACTGTCTCTAACTTGATCGCCGAAGGAAATTTTTGCGCTAGTGTGGGCTTGTTGAGTGCTACCCCAAACAGACGTTAGTCTTTATATTAATCTGTCGGGAAAATAGTGTAGATTGGGATTTGTGACGACTGGCCGCAGCCGGAGATTCCTTGGAGGAGGCAAGAAATTATGTTGAGACAAATCCACGCTATTTTCCCGACAGACTGATAATCGCCGACTTTTCTTATCATAAAAAATAATGCGCTGCGGACAAAAAAATTTCTATCAGTATATAGGGAAAAAGAAACATTTTGTCACTGAACAAATCAACGCGTTGCCGCAGGAGACCGCCTGAATTGTTGCGTGAAATATGTAGAACATTTGTCGCTGTCACAACGATGCTTTTTTTCAGGTGCGTTCTGCAATGGCAAACACTTTTTCATCTACCTAACTTACCGCATAGAAAAACAACAAGAAGCAGCAGCACACTTTGAACTTTCATGTTCTCAAATGATTTTTCTTGCATAAAACCTTGCTTTTTATACTCTCCTTTTTTCTGTTTAGATTCAATCTGAAATTTTTTTTTATTGATTTATTCGATTAGTAAATCACTTCAAATTTGAAACTATAAATTTATGAACGATTAAGCAATTATTTTAATTTAGAATAACAGGCCAAACCTGTGATTTGAAGCAAAATCTGCGATGATTTAATTAAAGGAGTGCTATAAAAGGCCAGCATCCCGAGGGTAAAATCATAGACATTGTCTTCAAACTCTAATCATGAACTTCTTCTACGTTCTCTTCCTGGTGTTCGCTGTCGGTAAGTTTTTCAAAAATTTCTGGAACCATCCTTACTACATATAATATCAGTTTGTCGGGAAAATAATATAGACTTGTCGCTCCTTGAAATCCCATCATCGCTTTACCTAGACGCGGCTTTAGATTTGCTACGAGACTGGAAGAAAGCGAAAAATTTTGCTGCGACAAATCCACATTATTTTCCCGACAGACTAAACTACTTTTCATAGGCCATTGAAGCTAAAATAACACGTAACCTTTTAACTTTCAGTTGGCTTCTCCATGGCCTCCCCCAAACCCGAGCCGGCCCCTGAACCCATGCCCTTGCCTCAATACGGCGGCGAGCCAGCCATGTTGGTTGACATTGAGCCCGTCGGGGATGCAGCTTACTCTTACTAATCCCTGTTGCTTTACTACGGCAATCCACATTTTCTTTTACATAATTACTTACAGTAAACTGTTCTGGAAATAAAAACAGGCGCGTAAATTATTGTGGATTGATAATTGCAAACCTTGGCAACATATTGCTTTTGTTTTCTTGCATCAATTATGACTTATGAGCCTCCCAAGACATGGCCAAGGATACCTAAAATAATACTCAAATAATATCTAACCTAAACTAAATAACTACTAAATAAACAAAGGGCAACTCAAAAACCAACTGTATCTCACCAAAGCCCAAATCATACTCCTTTTGTCCAGCCAAAAATCCTCGTGTTGCTTTGTTGACGTGGCTTCTTCGTCCCCATGGTTTTCGTGTTGGGACCATTGCATCTAGATAGTGTACTATCTACACTCCCCCACGTGGATGGTACCGTCAGCGACCTCCGCGTCGTCCGCGATTGTAGTGTGGCGGATGATTGTTGAGGGTATTTGCGAGTAGATTGGCGAGCAGAGCCGTCAATTGGTTGTTGTCATGGGGGGACGTGTAGTGTTGCTGACGTTGTGCTCTGGATGAAGATGGATGATCATGTGTTGATGCGGCCACTGGTTGATTGGACGGAGCGGTATAAAGAGTTGGTGGAGTAGGGGCCGGTGGTAGATGTTGAGGGCGACCGACGAACGTGCAGGTTACTCGGCTCAGCCATGTTCCGAGATGGATGTCGTTGCATTGACGGGAAACTTCATTAAGTTGATGCAGTGTTGTGGTGGGGCATTTGGGCAGTAGTTCTTGAAGCTTGGTGAGAATCTCTTCTCGAGGTTGGATGTTTTCAGGTCTAAAAATAAATTTAATGTGGCTAAGAGGCTTAGCTGTTCATCAGAAGGGAATAAAATTAAAAATTATTATCTAAAAATTATCTAAACGTAAAAAAAATATTTGGAAAAAGGATCGAAGCTTACGCTTGCGGGTTTACCAGCTCATCACCGTCCCGTGGGAGGAAAGGAGTAAACGCATCATCCGCAGACATTGTATTACAACTGATTTTTCGGCAAAATCTGAGCGGAACCGTGGTTTCAATGTTGTTTTCCGTCAATATTTTTAAATGTTTCTCCCACACCCGGGTAATTTTGCCCAACTGTAGTCTTTGAGTTTTCGTGTCGAGACTCGGATTTTTAAATGCAACTATCTCGTTGATTTTCCACTCATTTTTTTGTTTTCCATTCGCTCCGAATTTTCCACAATTTTTGGTGGAGATCGAATGTAGATACTCGTTTTGCCAAATCCCCTTGATGTCTGCAATCTTGTTCTGCATTCGTACAAAGGTCTGAACGAGGTTTTGGACATTTTGGGGTGTGTTTGGATCATATTCGCTAATCTCGTTTTCATACAATGGCAACGCTAATGGTTTCCGAAGTGGCATGAGTAAGTCTATTGGCCTTATTATTGCCGAATCTTTACTAACTACCAATAGTGGTCGGGAATTTATTATGGTTTCCGTGTATGGTAAGATTATATTTAAATTTTCATATGATATACTTTTCTTTCCAGTAAAATTTCTCCTCAGATTATCTTTTACTAATGCAATTAACCGTTCGTATGTTCCTCCTTCCCATGGGGAGTAAACCACTGTGAATTTCCACTGAATTTTGTATTTTTTCAGGTACTCATCGATGTCTTCACTTTCGAATACCGTTTTATTCAATGTTTTTTCAGCTAATTTGAAATACGAAGCCTGGTCGCTCAAAATGGTTCGCGGGAAGCCGTATTTTGCTGATAGTACCTGTAGTGATTCTAGGAAGTGCTCTCTCGGTGTCAAAAATTATTCAATACTCGGCTCTCCCAGATAACCGCGAGCTAAAGTTTTCAGGAATTAATACATAATGTTTGTGGCCTATGTCTGACACGTGTGCAAATCTTTAAAAAAGTCAGAGCGTCGCATTTGGAAGTCTTCCATTGCGAGAACTCTGAAAAAAATGCTGCCAAATCAAGACAAAATTTTTTATTTTCCAAGCTGGATATTAAAATATTTTAGAATGTCATCCAAGTGCCTTATGCCGAGAGCAATGGAGGCGCCGGCAATGTCGGCGGCTGGTCCAATTAGCCTTCTGAAGAATTTATACATAATGTCTTTGAGGTGGTAGGCCTAACAAGGATATATAATAAAAAGAGTTTTAGCTTGGGTTCACCAAAAATCATCATGAATTTTCTTTCGAACAAAGGAGTCTTTTTTCACGTAACCATATTTTTTTATCCAAAAAAATTGGTTACGTGAGTTACTGCCGCTAATAATAACTGGGGGCCGCCTGGAAAGCATAAATTTCAATTTTCAGAAATTTTAGTTTGGCTCAGCTTTGTGCGTCCCCAAATTCCGTCGCATTTTGAAAAAAAAGAAGATTTGTCGTCAAGCGTGACGTAAGGAAAAATAAATAAAAATGCACTGTTCAAAATAGTGTTTTTGGGTCAAAATTTGCCGTGCAAAACATTCGCAACGACGCGCAAAACCGCACAGTGAAAACTCTCTAGATTTTTTTGCGCCAAGCACATTCGCAATCAGCAAGCTTTGCAAAGTTTAATGAAATATGAATGTCATGTCTACCACCCTCTCCGTTTTTCCTGCTTACTTTGCAATTTTGAGCAACATTCCGCCAACTCCTTCCACTGGCTGATCTGCAATATGAAATTTTCACATTATGCCGGTGATTTCACATACGGAGAACTTGAAAAAAAATTCTTACAAATTGCAAAAATGACGACGGTGACCAATAAAGCCTTCAGGTACATTTTTTGCACACAAAGTTTAGGACAATAAAGAAATTTCGAAACGACTTTGAAGTTTTATAATCGAATAAGCAAATTTGGATTTAAATTGACAATAATTAAATCATTGTGAAAAATTAATATTATTGATCAATTTTTATTAAAAAATTGATTTTAAAAAACGAACAATTAGAAAAACATAAATTTTTTGATAGTAATTTTAGTACGGAAGGTAGCCGAAGAGGTAGGAAACGGTCTTCCCAAAGAACTCCGCAGCTGGGCCAAGGATTTTTAGAAAAACTTTGCCCAGAGTGGCGGTTGATCCTTCGGCAGTTTGGACTGAAAAAAAATCAATATTTTTGATGATGAACATGACTTAAAAACATCTTAAAAAACCTGTATAAAAATGGCTTACAAACTGAAAAGCACATTACAATCAAAAACAAGAATTTCAGCCACATTTTTCGATTCAAAAAATATCAAAAAAGACTTGAAATCGAAATAAAAAAATTAAATTTGCCAGTTAAAACCAAATAAAATTCGTTTTTGAAGCAGACATAGTCTATTTCATTGACTTTCCCCCAAATTTAATCTACTTATTCGATTATTTCGTTGGGATAATTACGATTTACTATATAAAACAAGGAAAACGACGAAGAACTCATAGACTTGTCGTGTTCAAAATGAGATTCTTCTTTGTTCTCCTCTGCGTTTTCGCCATTGGTAAGTAAGCCTCACGGATAAGACACTGTTCTTCAGTCGGCTTCTCTATGGCTTCACCAGCCCCCGAGCCGGTCCCAGAGCCAAACCCATGGCCTCAATTCGATGGACAGCCAATGATGGTCGACATTGAGCCAGCCGGTGATGCCAAGTTCCTAAAGTAAACTGTTCATGATCTGGGGAAGGGTTGAATGTTGTGCTATGTGTTTAATAAAGTGAATTGCGCGTAATTTCTTGGAAAGCTTTGCCTGATATTGCAGTGACGGACACGATCCCGTGACAAAAAACGTATCATTTTGCATCCGGGAAGTATCAAAAATGTGGCAAAATGCCTCCCTCTCCAACTAAAAAACTCCGTTTTTGAACTGCGCGCCCTTTCTCTCACAGAAAGAGTGGTCGCGCTTCTGAAATCGGAGTTTTTTTTCATTTGGAGAAGGAGGTATTTTGCAACATTTTTTTTGTTATTTCCCGGATGCAAAATGGTACGTTTTTGGCCAATGGATCAGGTCCATAGAAATAGAAATAGATATGAGTCCGTTCGAAAAGTCGCTGAACTATTTCTGACGTTTGTACTGTGCAGAAACAAATTAGTCAACAAATTACACAGTGCGAAGTTAAGCGTTGTTTTTTCATAGTGGATGTCGCCGAAGTCACTCCAGCAACTTTATTATGACTTTATGGACGGACTGGTATCTCTTGACTTCAATATTAGTCTGTCGGTAAAATAGTGGCGACTCTTCGAGGCTTGAGATCGCCCCTGCAGAGCTCTGTGACGGCTAGCCGAAGTTGGAAGTTTGGTTAGCGACAAAGCAGCCTATGTATATATTTTTGACGAGGCATAATATTTTTCTGCCATTATTTTTCCGACAGACTGATACAAAGTTTCATGGATGGCTTTGTCTAAATTCATGCTTCTTAACTCAAGAGATGAATATGCCGTCTCCGAAGGCTACCATCCATACTGGTAGCCTTACTGGACTTCAGTCAATAATATTTGAGGTTACACTTGTTCTTGAAAGATATTATTAACAAATTTAGTCAGCTAGACAAGATTTTCTTCTTTTGATTTATCTTAATCGAGCCATAATTTCTAATTATAGGGAAAAACTCTTTTTGATAACTCCAATAAAAGGCGATCGACCCTTCCCGAACGTTGCATTACGAACATGAAGGCGCAGTATTTGCTGTTGATCGTTCTGATCTTTGTCCTGGGTAAGTTGAGCATCTCCGGCTTATATGAATTGCAGCCGTAACTCCCGCTGATGCCGGCCTCTGGTCTTGGCTCAAAAAGATTGCCAAGAAGGTGTGGAACAAGATAACTGGACAGCCCGAGATCATCTACACCGACGAGTACGGAAATCCGCTTCCTCAAGGATAGAGAGAAAAATTTGTGGCTTGTATTTTAACTTTCAAATAAATGAATTCCGCTGTCAGAGTTACTAAATATGAGCTTAATTTGTTGATGCTGCATTTCTGAGCCCAAATTGTTGAATATCTCGGCGGCGCCCTGACTATGGAAATACTCCAAGTCCGACGCGCGAAGTTTGATAAAGCGTGGCTCAAGTTTATAATAATTTTAAAATATTTGACTTTTTGCTGAATTTAGGCATGAAAAGTTGTATGTCTATTTCTGCCGGAGAGACGGCCAAAAGATGTTTTTTACTCCGGTGGCTTTCGCAGCTCTCTCGGTCACAAAAATCTTTGAATATTTCGGCTGCCCGTAGAAAGCGCCAGCTAAGGTTCTCAAGAATTGTCATGGGCCTATGCGCGACACGCGGAGTACTTGCACCGTAAACCACTTCGCAGCACAAGGGAGAAGAATCATGAAGGAAGATAAGCGTCATAATTAAGCTTAAGACTTCAGTTAATAACTAGAAGTACAAAAAAAAGTGAATCGCTTGCTCTACTGAACTTATGCCTAAAGAGCAAAATGATTTTGTCAATTTCTCCCCTAGCCAATAATTAAATTACCAAAAGTGATTCCGGATTATGTCGTAAAGTCATATAATCATTTATTTACATGATTCATTTTATTCCATAATCGGTCTTTAATTTTGTTATGTAATCATAGACTGTAATTATTGAATTATCTCTTCGCTATAAAGACCCTTTCAAGTCGTCCATTTCTCATTCATTCAACAGCCTTTCAACATGAACTTCTTCTACGTTCTCTTCTTGATCTTCGCCGTCGGTAAGTTATTGTGGCTTTACTGTCAATTTTAAAGGCAAAAAAATTTGCTATAGCAAGTGTAGTAATATAATACATATACCTATATAATGTATAATAATATAATTTTTTTCAGTCGGTTTCTCAGTCGCCGTCCCCAACCCAAACCCTGAGCCCGCCCCAATGCCCGAACCATTCCCTCAGATGAATGGGGAGCCAGCCATGATGGTCGATATTGAGCCGATTGGAGATGCCGGTTACCAACTATAAATTGATCCATCGCCCAGTGTAATGACAAGTTTGCATTCTTTGATAAAATAAATTATTCAGCAGCGGAGATTTGGGAACTTACCCATTGTATACAGGAAAAAAGTAATTTTGTT